AATTGCATTTTTCGTATAAATGAGTATAATTATTGCTGCTAACAAATAAGCAATTTGCTTCTGAAGGGTTCTCTTTTTTAAGGATGTTCTACACCCTTTCTGCCAAAATTCACGTTTTTTTAATTTTTCTGGCAAACTTATGATGGAATTGACGTGAAAAAATATAACGTTTTGGCGTTTTGTCATTATTTAATGACTGACGAAATTTTAAGGTGGTGCGAACATTTTCCTGCGTTTTCTCTAAACTTTTAGAAAGAATCACAAAACTCTAGAAAAAACGCATGAAAATTATCGCACCACTACGCAACTTCGTGAGCCATTAAAGAATGACAAACCACAAAATCGTTATATTTTTTCACGTCACTCCCATCGATAATTTGCCAGAAAAATGAAAACAACGTCAATTTTGGCTAAAAGGTGTCGAACATCCTTAAATTCTTATTTCACTATTCTCCTCTTCTATTTTTTCATGTCACAGTACTATCATCAATTGAAGTGTCATCAAAATTTTGCGTATTATTTCGTTCTGTCAAATAATTCTACATTCAGACCCTCTCAAGACTCGAATTCGTTTTCAGTCCGGGTTTAATCGAGGTTCAATCACGGTTTAATCAGTGTACAGCCGGGATTTAATCAGGGTTTATTCAGGATTTAGCCAGAGTTTAACCCAGGTTCTGTCAGAAGTTAGTCGGGACCATGAATCAATATGAATAAGTATTCAACATAATCGACAAGTACCTGAGTTTAATAGAGATAGAGATTTCGATATAAAAAGCTCATAACGGTATTGTGTAACTTGATAAGCAATGATGCTGTTCCCATCTTTTTTCTACTTGATTAAGAAGCCATTGAAATATACTTTTTAAGCCCTGATTTAATTGGTATTACTGATGATTCTTTCAGTAATCATGAAAAAATCGATTTTCTCTTTCAAATCGCATAAACAATGTGCTGGAACTCAACAACGAATTGTACGACCCCCATCATATTCTGATAGAATCAAGAGGGTATTGTTATCAATTTTTTGAGCCATGACTAATTCCATTTTGATGACAATTTTTTGAGTGATCGTTGAAAAATCGATTTTTGGAAAAGTATCCATTTTTTCGAATCCGTATGGAAAATTGAGTTTTAATTGGTGTCAACGAATAGAGCTCATTAAATTCTATATTCATGAAAAAAATCATGAGGTTTGATTGATCTCTTATAAGAAAATTCATTCGCCCGCAAAAACTAATAGAATTTTCTATAGAAGTTTGCTAGAATCTCTTATCGAATTCGCTAGTTTTTTCCATGGAATTTTTTCGTACGTGGCCTCTTCCGAAGTGAACTGACTCATCGACTTTCATTACTCAACATCAGTGATAATTCACCACTCAATGAAAAAACTTCCCAGGAGTTGAGAAACTATCGCGTCACGTATTGGCGCTTTCAGCAGTGACCGGGCTATCTCCGAAGCTAGATCAACCTGGACTTGATTGCCACGCGACTGAGATCACGTTAACCAAGTCTCAGCTGTTAGCATTTCTAAATTGATGTAACTGGGTTATTCATGAAATTGATTTCGTGGCAATTATCGGTTGGCAAACATTGGCCCGCAAACGTTCATTGTGGGATCGGGGGGCAAGGTCATTGACACAGAAGTGCGGTTGAGTGACGCCTACAAACGCCAGATCGATGACATAATGAAGGATACGGTCAAGTTCATAGAGATCCCAATATTACGTAACGTCTTGTTTTCCCGCAATTAGGTTCACGTTGTTGAGAATAAGAGGCGGTGATCATTTTGTTACGCGAGTATTTTTTTTTGCGAAAAAAATTTTTATTTCAATTTTCAGGATTTTTATTTCAATTTGGTTTTTTCCATTCATTCAGAATTTTCGTTCATACGGATATTCGGTCCTTCAGAAGCATTGAAATCTGTATTTTATCTAGGATTCGAATATATTTGACCTTCGTGAGGGTCCAATGTGAGGGTTTAAATCATAATTGGACACCGTGAGGGCTGGGAATTTTTTTTCAAGTTGGTAAGAGTCTAAATTTTATTCATTTATTCAGAATTTTGTATATTCGCCCCTCAGACGCGCTGAAATCTCGTGTATTTTATCTAAATTAAAATATATTTGACCTCGTGAGGGTCAATTGTAAGGGTTTAAATCATTATTAGGCACCGTGAGGACCAGGAATTTTATTTCAAGTTGGTAAGAATCTACGTTTTGTCCATTTATTCAGAATTTTGTATATTCGCCCCTCAGAAGCGCTGAAATCTCATGTATTTTACCTAAATTGAAATATATTTGACCCTCGTGACGGTCGAATGTGAGGATTCAAATAATAATTTAGCACAGTGAGGGTCAGGGATTTTATTTCAAGTTAGTAAGTGTCTAAGTTTTGTCCATTTATTTATTTGTTCTTTATATTTGACCCTCGTGAGGATCAAATCCAACTTGACCCCTAGAAGCGTAAAAATGAGGTTTAAAATTACAGTTAATCTTCATCAAGTTCAAAATATTAACAATTTTAAGCTGATAAGAATCACGGTTTCATGTGTTTATTTGAAATTTTAAATACTTGACTCTCATAAGGGTTAAAATCATAATTCATGAGGGTCAAATATGAAGGTCAAAATCAGAATTAGGTTCCTTAACTATTTCAGCCTGATAAAGTATAAAATTTCATCTATTCAAAAAATTTTAATATTTGGCGCTTATGAGAGTTAAAATCACTCTTGACCCTTGAAGTCTTGAGTCTATCGCAAATATTCGATATATTCATAGCGCCCAAAATCTCATATATTAAGCCATTATTTAAGTTTTTTTTTTATCGTTATTTTACATCGCTTCGACCTGGTTAGGGTATACTGCGGTGATGATCAAGACTTTAGATGGTTAGATCGCACCATTCTACCCGTCCGGGATTCGAACTCGGAACCTTTCGCATGTGAGGCAACGAACTTACCCACTGCGCCAAGCCATCGGGATGGTTATTTAAGTATATTAATCGTTCACTCAAATATAATTGACCCTTATGAGGGTGAAAATCACACTTCACTCAACTCAGAAGACGAAAGCATCATTCCTCTGAAACATCGAGGAAGAATGTCTGAAATTGAATAAAATTCACTGAAAATAAGTAATTGCTCCCGAAAAATGAGACTTCCTTCCCTTCTGTGCAATAATAATCCTATTTGTTTCGTCCGTACACACGGACTAATTCCCCATTTCGCCAGTACTGACTCCATGAAAAAAATATGTAAACAAAAAAAATTACGGAGAGTGTACTTTTTTGTTCAGGTAAACCGATTGTACTTCCTCCCGACAGAAAGTTTTAATAGCATTGAAATTTATTTATTCCACCGCTGTGAAATGCAACTCTGAAATATTCCGAATATCATCCCCTTTTATTACTGAACTATTTTTGTTCTCTCCACTTGCATCGCATTTGTCGCTGCGAATACTATATGCATCCTCCAGAGATATGGGAGGTAATGGAAATAGCGAGGAGGAATACAACTCATTTCCGTTTAAGATTTAATCCAAGAAAGGGGAGGAAAACCGCTTGCTATCATTTTTTCACGAGGGAGTGTAAAAAAAATGTGTGTTTGGATGAGAGTGCTCGGTACTTCTGAAATAGCGAATGGCTGGTTCTATTGTAGCGAGAAAATTTCAGGAAAAAATGTGGTAAAACGTTGTGCGTTCGATCGGGCATGAAAGTGTACGTCTACTCGAGTGATAAAAAAATTTTAAGACAGAGTGCGGGAAGTAATGTCTGGATATCACGAAAGAGCCGAATATGAAGATTAAAATCATAATTGTCCCTTTTGAAAGACCGTGAGCCGTGAATTCTCAGCTAAATTAGGAAGAAAAAATCTGGATAGCTTGAAACCAGCGGGGACGCCGCCATCTTGCTTGGATATCACTTCACTCTCCCGCGAGAGGGTTTAAAGGTGGCGGGGCTCCCACCTCGCGTTTTTAAACATTTCTAAAAATTATTTAACGTCTTCAGATTACTCTCAACTCGTTTCATCCGGTTTCTATGAAATGAACAATTTTTTAAAGCCATTTTGACGATTTTTCAATGCCCTTTTGACTGAGAATTCGTGACGCTAAATTTTCCAGCATTTCAGTATTTTTTTTTTTACTTCCGAAGCCTCTTAAATTTTTCTAGAGTGAATAATTTATTAATTCCTTTTCTCAAAAATCAAACAAAAAAGTTATGATTGTAAATTATTATAACTTAAGATGCTTCGGAAGTAAAAAAAATACTGGAATGCTGAAGAAACTTTGAGCCATGAAAAAAAGCTGAAAAAAACAGAAGAATAATTTGAAAAAAAAAATATTTTCTAGGAACTTTCTTCAACGAGTTGAAGATGATTTAAAAAGAATAAATAATTCTAAAAAATGTTCGAAAATACGAGATGGTTGCCATCCGTGAGTGCCGCCATCTTGCTATTTTTATAGATGGCGGTCCCCACTTCGCATTTTTAAACATTTCTAAAAATTATTTATCCTCTCCAGATCACTCTCCACTCGCTTCATCCAATTTCCATAAAATGAACAATTTTTATAATCCATTTTCCAGAGTTTTCCATACCCTTTTGGCTGAGAATTCATGACGCAAAGGTTGCCCGGCACTTTAGTACTGTTTTTTCACTCCCCAAGCCTCTTAAAAATCTCACAACCTCTCACGTTCCTATTTCACACACATAAGGGTTTAAATTTCATGTATCCGAAATCGACAAGCTCTCAAATCTCCCATATCCAGCCCCTATCCACCTATATTCGACGCTCGTAAAAATAAAACCAAAAATTGACTCGCCCAAGACTGAAAATATCATGTATCCCGCGTCCATAAACGTCAACATCTCCCATATCCACCATTTATTATACCCATAAAAAAATGTGTTCGATCGCCCATCAAAATGTCTCCTCATACAATAAAAAAACATTCACCCGCAAAAGAGTATGCAATACATTTTCTATAATCATTTTTCTACTCACTTGCTTCCGCAATAATGCCTCTGTAGATCCTGCCGGTGTGTTGGCTCCATTCCGGATGGCCGTGAAGTTGGCTAATTTTATTCGGCATTCGTATCTCGCCCGGTCTGTCGACACAGTATAAAAAATTCATGAAACCCAATTTTTGCATAATTGCACTGGGAGAATGAACGAGTGAATATCACGGAAATAATTTCTTGGGCTAAAAAAGGAGATTTTCTTTTGCGTGACTTCTGCATTCCTTCAATGCGAAAGCCCCTTATTCGTGATTCACCGGGTCGAAGTTTTCCGTATTTTGAGTCATTTTATCATCTCCTGACACGAAAAAAACGACTTGGGACTGGGAATTCTCACTTCATCGTGAAGTGTTTGCACAATTTGTACATGGCCTGTCTCATTCTTAACAGATAAGATGTTTGACTAGAGAAATTAATTTTATAATTCAATTTGAAGGTAAAAAAACGATAAAACATTAGATTGTGATTTTTTTTTGTAGATGGAGTCGTCGAAATTGTCTTCATGACGCAACTTTCAATCGATTCACTTGAATTTTTGTATATACATGCGGAATATATGCATCAAAATATATAAATGAGGCTTTTTGAAAATTTTCATTTTTTTGGGTTTTAGGAATTTTTTTCTAAAAATTGGTACATGTGAAAAATGCGAAAAATTGTTCAAATTAAAGTGCTTAGTGAATCATTGAAGTATGAACTTTATCAGATGTTTGCTGGAGAATGGGAGCTTTGTAATCGTCCAAATTCAAGTTTCCAATTTTTTGCGATTTTAGAAATTTTGGATTTTTTTTTTACAAATTTCGAAATTTTCTTCTAAGGAATAAATCGAATTTTATTAATTTTTTCATGAATATAGACTTTAATAAGCTTTATTCATTAACACAAATTAAAATTCAATTTTTCATGCAGATTCGAAAAAATTGATATTTTTCCACAAATCGATTTTTCAACGATCACTCAAAAAATTGATAACAATACCCTCTTGATTCTATCAGAATATGATGGGGGTCGCACAATTCGTTGTTGAGTTACAGCACATTGTTTATGCGATTTGAAAGAGAAAATCGGGTTTTTCATGATTACTGAAAGAATCATCCGTAATAGTAATTAAATGAGGGCATGAAAAGTATATTTCAATGTCTTCTCAATCAAGTTGAAAAATGGTGAGAACAGCATCATTGCTTATCAAGTTACACAATACCGTCATGAGCTTTTTATATCAAAATCTCTATCTCTATTAAACTCAGGTACTAGTTTATTATGTTGAATAATTATTCATATTGATTTATGGTCCCGACTAACTTCTGACAGAACCTGAGTTAAACTCTGGCTAAATCCTGAATAAACCCTGATTAAATCCCGGCTATACACTGATTAAACCTTGATTGAACCTCGATTAAACCCGGACTGAAAACGAATTCGAGTCTTGAGAGGGTCTGAATGTAGAATTATTTGACAGAACGAAATAATACGCAAAATTTTGATGACATTTCAATTGATGATAGTACTATGACATGAAAAAATAGAAGAAGAGAATAGTGAAATAAGAATTAAAAAGAGAGAACCCATTTGGAAGCAAATTGCTAATTTATTAGCGATAATAACTATTCTCATTTATAAAAAAATGCAATTATCCACTTGTTTTCTACATAAATGAAAATTTTCAAAAAGCTCATCTAGTTGTTTTTGTACAAAAAATGAGAAAGAACTTACTGTCGTACACGGGTATGCGATTTGTGCATTCGCAAGGTTTTCGAGCCTCGGGTGAGTACGAGCATTGCTGGATGCAGGCAGAGCCCCGGCAATCTGAATGAAAAATGAGCTTTTAGGAGAGGATTTATTGAATTTGCAAATAGATGGAAATATTCAAAATAATGCAAATATTCACCTCCCCGTGTATCGTTTAAAACCGGCATTTCACAACTGTTTCCCGTGTAACCCGAGGTGCAGAGACATCTCACAGCTTCTGCCCCGATGTGCCTGTACATTACATCGCCAACGTCAAACAATAAGTCATGTGTCTCATCAATCGATTATGGAACAGTGAGTTTGTTGATAATGGAGCAATTACATACTTGCAGGTACCACCATTTCTGCACATGGTCTCCCGTTCATCATCTATGCAGAGTGGACCGTGAGAGCATTTTTCACCGGTGAATTTCTCGAAACAGTGACAACTAAATGACCTGGAGATAATTGAGAAATACGGGATATTGTTATTACCAAGAGTAAGGGTTGGCTGAGAAAATATGGGTTTTCCCTTTTTTCACTGTATAAATTAGTGTGTTAAGACGTGTTCTCCAGTGAAATGCTTTTCTACTTTTGTTCATTTGAGTCCCATTTGACCCCAAGTTTCCGGAGATTTTACAATGATTTTATTATTTAAAATTTGTGGGTCTGAATTTGAATCTCGATACTGAGCCGTTAGGAATGATTTTGAAAATTTGGAAAAAAAATTGAGGTTTACTTTTGGAGAAAGATTGATGAAATAATTGAAAAATTGCAGTTTTTGAAAATTACGCGCTTTTTAGATTATGAGGGGCAGAATAAAGGTGATGAGGGTCAGATTAAGGACCACAAGGGTTTAAATAAGGGTTACAAGGGTCAGATTCAGGGCCATAAGGGCTACATGGGTCGGATTAAGGGCCCCAAGGGTTACAAAAGTCCGAATAAAGGTCCAAATAACGGTCACAAGAGTGAGATTAAGGGTTACAAGGATCAGATTATAGATCATATGGGTCAGATTAAGGGTCATAAGGTCACAAGGATGAGTTGAAGGATTCAAATAAGGGCCGCAAGGGTTCTAAAGGTCACGAGGGTCAAAATGAAACTTACGAGGGTTATAATGAGGGTCAGATTAAAGATCCGAGTAAGGGTTACAAGGGTCAGATTAAAAATCACAAAGATCAGAAATGAAGGGTCAGAACCTGAGGTTCACAAGGGTCAAAACAATACTCACGAGGGTTATGAGGGTCGGAACAAGGGTCGCTGGGGTCAAATTAAAAGTCACAAGGTTCAGATAAAGGGTCATAAAGATCAGATTAAGGGTTCAAATAAGGGTCGCAAGGGTTTGGTTAAGGGATATGGGGGTGAAAACCAAGGATTAGAAACTAAAGGTTCACAAGGGTCAAAATAATAGTCACGAGGGTTATGAGGGACGGAATAAGGGTCACGGTGGTCAAATTAAAGGTCATGAGGTTCAGACGAAGGATCAAAAGGGTCATAAGGATCAGATTAAGGGTTCAAATAAGGGTCGCAAGGGTTCGGTTAAGGGAGATGTAGGTCAAAAACCAAGGATCACAAACGAAAGGTTCACAAGGGTCAAAATAATAGTCACGAGGGCTATGAGGGCCGGAATAAGATCGTGAGGGTCAGACTAAGGGTCACAAGGGTCAGATGAACGGTCGCTGAGGTCTAAAAAGAGTCATGGGGGTTGGTGAGCGGAGCGAGCAGGGGGTGTAACCCCCTACTAAAAGAATATAAAGATACTTGTCTCACTATCTCAACTTGAGACCCTATTTCATCAAATGCAGTCCCCGACTAGTTCTCAAGATACTGCAAGAATTATTCAACAATTCAATATTGAGATTCAATTCCCTGAAAATGCAAATCTCTCAGTGGAGATTGAGACAGGCCAAGTGATAGCGTATACAAATTTCTATGCAAATGTTCACACTCTAAATAAAAGACGAAAATAAAAAAATATATAAATACAGCATGACCTGGAGGCATTTTGTTCCTGTCTGTAAATTTCCTGGCGAGACATCAAAACCACAAAAACTTGAATAATTCAGATACTTACTCGTAGGTGCCATCGAGTATGCAATTTCCCGCAAAAGAGCAGTCCCTAACCGTGCAAGAATTTGGGTTGGCATCTGCCTCCGTCACTTCGTACGTGACATTGAAGCCATAAACATCGAGAAGATCATGAAGTACTCGTACGTGATTTCCCTCGAGTCGGTCCAGTTTAAAGTCAATAACGAGAAATGGCCTGTATGTTTTGAACCAGCGATATTCAAAAACATTGCTCTCTGTGACTTTTTTAATGAGGGTTGCACCAAAATTTGTGCTGTCAGACTCGTAATAAGCGTACTCGGTGAATTTTAAACCCTTGTAAACGTACAACTGAGTGAGATAAATAACAATGGAACTGTTGCCAAATGGTATGTCCGATGCGTCTATCACCCAGCGACACTTAATGGGCACGGAAAATGGTCCAGGAAAGTTTGGCGTTTGAATTATTCCCCTTGGCGACATTAAATGACCACCGCAGAATTCAACGTCCGTCGGACTCGCCAGAACTGAGAAAGTTACTATCAAGATGGGGTAATTGATCCAGGGACTGGTCATTCTAGTGTTTGCCTGGAACGTTAATGAGAATCGGATGGGTGTAGCCGGTTTTCGGGGATATTTGGGGGGCGTTCATTGGTCGTTAGCGCGTTTTGTTCGGAGGCGGTGAAATTTCGGGGAAACGCGTGTGAAGAAATTCAATAGAAAGGATAGCGAATTTGCTAGAAAATTTTATTGGAATTCTATAGGAATTTTTTTTGAATTCGCTAGGTTTTCTATTGAGCTTTTTTATGTGTGAACCTGCACGAAAAAATTTCATTGAAAAACTTAATGAATTCGTAAGACAATTCTGTTGGATTTCTATCGAATTTTCTGTTAGTTTTTGAATTATTCTAATGAAGAGATGTATAAAATAAATTAATTGAATTCGATTTTTTGTGTAACTTATTTTAGTGCAATATTTTCTTTGAAGTCTCGCGGTTCAATTTTTCTACGTTTTTTGTTTGATTTTTTTAATGAAAAAACAAGAAAAAGATAGTGAATAAAACTCGGGATATTCATGTTGAGGAATTGTTATAGAAAATTGTCTTAATTGGAAAAATTGTATAGAAAAATCAATAGAATTTGATTTTTCTATTCAACTCATTCTATTAAAATATTTTTTACAGAAATTCCTCGGCTCAATTTTTTAAAGTTTTCTTTGATTGGTTTTTTTTAAAGAAAAAAGAAGAAAAAGAGAGTTTTAAAAACTTAAAAAATTAATTCTGAAGAATTGCTGTAGAAAATTATCTCAATGGGAAAAATTGCACAAAAAGATGAAAATCTACGAATTTTTTTCTATGAAATTATTTCTATTGTACATTTTTAAAAAACGCACAATAAAACTGCGGAATTCTCCAATAGAATCAGCCAAAAACTAATAGAATTTGATTTTTCTATACAACCCATTCTATTGAAATATTTTCTATAGAAATTGCTCGACTCAATTTTTTTATTTTTTTTCTTCAATTTTTTTAATGAAAAAAAGGAAAAAAGAGGGAAAAAACCGGGAAAATTCATATCAAATAATTTCTATAGAAAATATTTTAATAGAGAAAGTTCTACCAAATAGTATATTTCGTAACGAGTGCAAAAAAGTGTTTTTTGGCGAGTGGGAGGTTTATATCACGAGCCGAAGGCGAGTTAATATAATCCCACGAGCTAAAAAACATTTTTTCACGAGTTACGAACAATATTTTTCATCACAATGTGGCGGAAATTGGACTTTTAGGCACGCGGGGCGTGCCGAAAAGTTCACTTTTCGTCACAGCTTGATGAAAAGATTATTTTGTTAATAAAATAGTTGCTACTTAAATTGGAATCTAATTTTTGAATAGAAATAATGATTCATCTATATTCAAACGGGATTAGAACATTTCTTCGAGCTAATTAATGCAACAAATATCACACACTACTCGGCTGGGATGCATCAAGGTCTCACCGGTGGAAATTTCCTGAAATTCAATTGACAGTCACATGCCAATTTGCTATGCTGTGAACTTTGGATTGGATTTCAGATCGAGTTATCCGCGAAGTTCTGATTTATATTCAACATTCGAGGAAATTGAGTTTTCTTCGTATTCAACGAATGTAGAAGCCTCCATGATATCCCGAGTTTTGGAATTCATTGTGGAATTAATTCAATTCGTTCTTCATTAAAAACTGAAGAATTTGCATCACGTCAAGTTAAATTTTTAATTTTTATGGGTTTTAAGGAAATTGGATGAATTGTCAAGCGAAAAATCTCTTGAAATTTCATGCGAATCAGTTGTTAATGGACAATTCGAGCATTCCCCCTTGAAATTTAAGGTGAAATGTTCTGTCAGAACAGTAGTTGAATGTAACCCGAGTGAGAATAATCGATTGAACCAACATCAATCGTGAATTGCTGACAGTGTTAATTATTCCTGGAGATTCTGTCTATAAACATTTCTTCAGTCATACTTTCCACTTGATTTAAATGAACTTGAGGTCAATTTGCTCATTAATTTTGTCATGTGAAATACAATTATGAAAATAAAACAACGGAATAAAAAGGAAACATTAGCGAGTGACTCAATAATAAATATTTCAACGAGTATAATGCGCCCAAAAATGAGTAAAAAGATTTTTCTGTTCCAGTGTAAATGAAATTCACATTTAATTCAATTTTCTTCATTAAAAACTGAAGAATTTGCATCACGTCAAGTTAAATTTGAAATTGTCATGGATTTTAAGGAAATTGGATGAATTGTCAAGCGAAAAATCTTTTGAAATTTCACGCGAATCAGATGTTAGTGGACAATTCGAACATTCCCCCTTGAAATTTAAGGGTGCCAAGTGAATTTGGCGATGACCTTGAAAATTGACATTCACCAACAAAGTTATAATTTTTTTAATTAATAGTGTTAGACAGATGGTGAACATCGGTGACACTTTTAAAATTTTAGAACTTATGGATATCGAGAAATTAAATAAACAAAATCAGTCTTATACACGGCCTCTTATGGAGTTTTGATTAAATTGAACGTTTCAACCCCCTAGGAACTCAAGAAAAATTGTAAAAAATTTGAAGATATAGGGAATGATGTGTTCAATGTGATGGCGACAAAAAACAATGGGGTACCGGGGTGAATAAGAGAGATATTTCAACCCGCCGTACCCATTTGATCCCATGCTTTCTCGAGGTTCGTCACGCGAAATAGAGGATTTTCCGCATTTATTTTCTCGATGTCTAGTTCCGGTTGCGGGTTTGAAATTTCGTCGGATGGATGAATACATATTTCTCCAATGATGGAGGGAAAGAAAAAATTTTTTTTGAATCTTTTTTCAAATTCACTTGGCACCCTTAAGGTGAAATGTTATGTCAGAGCAGTAGTTGAATGTAACGCGAGTGAGAATAATCGATTGAACCAACATCAATCGTGAATTGCTGACAGTGTTAATTATTCCCGGAGATTGTCTATAAACATTTCTTCAGTCATACTTTCCACCTGATTTAAATGAACTTGAGGTCAATTTGCTCATTTATTTTGTCATGTAAAATACAATTATGAAAGTAAAACAACGAAATAAAAAGGAAAAATTGGCAAGTGACTCAATAATAAATATTTCAACGAACAAAATGAGCCCGAAAATGAGTAAAAAGACGTTTCTCTTCCAGGAATAGAAAATTGCATTGAATTGAATTTTAATTCCATGGAGAATTGAAGACAATAATCTCCAGGATTTTCATCCTATCAATTTAAAATTGATAATTTTAGGAACTTCTAAAAAAATTGTCTGAGCTTTCTCCATCAAAATCTCTGGGTATTCCGTCTAAATTAGTTCTTGATGAATATTTAAAGAATTCCGTCCTGAATCTCCAGATGAGATATTCTGCCGGAGAAGTAGTTGAATGTAACGCAATTGAGAATCGATTGAGTCAACATTAATCGTGAATTATTGCCATTGTTAATTATTCCCGGAGATTCTGTCTATAAACATTTCTTCAGTCACACTTTCTATCTGATTTGAATGAACTGGAGGTTAGTTTGTTAATAAAACAACGAAATAAAAAGAAAAAACGTCGAGTGACTCAATAATAAATATTTCACCGAACAAAATGAGCTCGAAAATGAGTAAAAAAACCTTTTCCTTTCAGGAATACAAAATTGCATTGAAGTGAATTGAATTTTGATTCCATGGAGAATTGAAGACAATAATCTCCAAGATTTCCATCCCATCTATTTAAAATTGACGATTTTATGGACTTATAAAAAATTATCTGAGCTTTCTCCAACAAAATCTTTGGGAATTCCGTCTAAATTGGTTCGTGATGAATATTTAAAGAATTCCCTCCTGATTCTCCAGATGAGATATTCTGCCGGAGAAGTAGCTGAATGTAACGCGATTGAGAATCGATTGAGCCAACATCAATCGTGAACTGTTGACAGCGTTAAATATTCCCGGACATTCTGTCCGTAAAACTTTTCTCAAGTCGCACTTTCCGTTTGATTTCAAGTTAATTTGCTCATTAATTAGCCGAATATACTGCTATCAAAATGAAACAATAAAAACAAGTTGAAAAGATCCTCAAGTGACTCAATGAAAAATATTTCATAAAAATAAAATGACCTCATTACGTTGAAAGAGACCGCAAAGAGCATTTACACAGAATTATTAGTAGTATTTTCGCATCTCAACGAATCGCAATTAAAACTCCTCACCCCCGATGAACTTCAGTTTCATTACATTCACCCGTGAAATTTATTCTCTTTCATAACAAAACCAGAAGAATATAATTCCCAAAATCCCATTTCATCCCGTAAATATCAAATATTGTGATCAGAATAAAACTACAAAAACTAGTGGAAAAAATCCTGAAGTGACTCAATAAAAAATCGGAAGACATTGAACAATATTTTACTTCGCAAAAAACATTTATACGCAAAATTATTACTATTAATTCATCATCTCAATGAATCCGAATAAAAATTCCTCACTCCGATGAACATCAGTTTTATTACGTTCACCCGTGAAATTTATTCTCTTTCCCACAAAAAAATTCCAACAACATAATTTTCTTAAATTCATTAAATCCCTTTAAATCTCAATATTTGTTCGCCAGAATCTGCACTAATTATAGATATTCTATTTTTCCTACAGAAATCCAAAAAATATATATTTCAAAAATCTCTATCAGAATAAAACCACAAAAACTAGTGGAAAAAATCCTAAAGTGTCTCAAAAAAAATTAGAAGACGTTAAAATACTCCGGAAAAAACATTTATATTCAAAATTATTACTATTAATTCATCATCTCAACGAATCAGAATAAAAATTCCTCACTCCGATGAACATCAGTTTCATTACGTTCACCCGTGAAATTTATTCTCTTTCTCACAATAAAATCCCAACAACATAATTTTACCCCATTCCATCGACCTAAATCTCAATATTTATTCAGCAGAATCTGCATTAATTACCGATGTTCTATTTTCCCTTATAAAATCCCAAGAATATGATCTTCAAAAATCCATTTTAAAAGGCCCTATCAGAATAAAATCACAAAAACAAAACAAAAAAATAAAAATAAAAATTCTTGAAAAAAATCCTCAGGTGAACTTGAAAACATCCTGTTGAGGAATTGCTATAAAAAATTTTGTAGAAAGATGAAATTCCACTGATTTTTTTGTAGAAAATACATTATACCCAGAGTTATTACTCTTAATTTATCATCTCAACGAATCACAATTAAAATTGCTCACCCCGGTGAACTTCAGTTTCACTACATTTACTCGTGAAATTTATTCCCTTTCTCACAACACAATCCCAAGAACATAATTTTCCAAACCCATCCCATCCCCCGGAATCTCAAATACTTCTCTCAGAATAAAACCAAAGAAACTAGTGGAAAAATCCTGCAGTAACTCAATAAAAAAATTAGAGAACATCAGAATAGTCCACAAAAAACATTGAAATGCAATAATAGATAAAATGTACAGAAAAAACCAAGAGAATTTAATTTTTCTGTACAACTTATTCTATTCAGATATTTTCTATGGAAATTCATCGGTTCAATTTTTCTACGGTTTTTTTGTTTGATTTTTATAATGAAAATGTAAGAAAAAAGTGCTAAAAAAACTAAACTGAATAAAATGTTTAGCAAGAATCAAGAAAATTTAATTTTCATCACGCTGTGACGAATAGTGAACTTTTCGGCACGCACCGCGTGCCTAAAAGTCCAATATCCCCCACATTGTGATGAAAAATATTGTTCGTAACTCGTGAAAAAATGTTTTTTAGCTCGTGGGATTATATCNGTCCAATATCCCCCACATTGTGATGAAAAATATTGTTCGTAACTCGTGAAAAAATGTTTTTTAGCTCGTTACGAAATATACTATTTTCTACATTTTTCAATTTTTCCACGTTTTTTTGTTTATTTTTTTTTATGAAAAACGAAGTAAAAAAGAGCAAAAAAATGGTAATTCTCTGTTGGGGAATTGCTACAGAAAAGTGTCTCAATGCAATAATAGATGAAATGTATAGCAAAAATCAAAAGAATTTAATTTTCCTACATTTTTCAATGTTTCCACGTTTTTTGTTTATTTTTTTAAGTGAACAACGAAGTAAAAAAGAGCAAAAAAATGGTAATTCTCTGTTGAGGAATTGCTACGGAAAATTGTCTCAATGCAATAATAGATAAAATTTATAGCAAAAATCAAGAGCATTTAATTTTTCTACATTTTTCAATTTTTCTACGTTTTTTAGTTTATTTTTTTTAATGAAAAACGAAGTAAAAAAGAGCAAAAAAAATGGTAATTCCTTGTTGAGGAATTGCTACAGAAAATTGTCTCAATACAACAATAGATAAAATTTACAGCAAAAATCAAGAAAATTTAATTTTTCTATATTTTTCAATTTTTCAACATTTTTTTTCTTCAATTTTTAAAAATGAAAAACGAAGGAAAAAGAGTAAAAAAAATTGATGATTTCCTGTTGAGGAATTGCTGCAGAAAATTGTCTCAATGCAATGCTAGATAAAATATATAGTAAAAATCAAGAAAATTGAATTTTTCTATATTTTTCAATTTTTCAACGTTTTTCTCTTCAATTTTTTCAACGAAAACCGAAGAAAAATACCGAGAAAAACTCGAAAAATTGCTGTTGCCGAATGGCTCCAAAAAAGTTTCACTGAAATTCTCCCGCTGTTTTTCCCATTATCCCCAGAATTATCACTTACTTCCTCCCCTCAACGACTGACAATTAAAACTCCTCACCCCGATAAACAATAATCCCCCTCCATCTGCCCCTAAAATAGACTCCCGTTCTCCCCCCAAAATCCGAATCCCAACTAATTACAACTCATTATGACTGACTTGCGACTCACCGAAAGCAGAATGCATAATCCCAGCCGAGGGTAATTACGCAGCGACATGCTCATTAAAATATCCACTACTTACATTTCCATTCATCATTCCACTGTATGAGCATTCAGTCTTGCATAGCTGACGAGAAATGTACAACACATGAGTCTGGAGGGATCAAGTTGCGTCAACGCAACGTTTTGTTTTCCTTTGAAATGTGCACGGTGGACGTGCGATCCGGATTAAATGCATGATCAAATAATCCCACCCCTCCCGCCACTATTTATTATTCAAGTGCATCCGTAGTGCAGTCCCGTGCATGTTGTTATTTTCCGGGTGTATCAGGGATTACATTTTCCTCTCCCGCTCAAGCCGACAAATGGGATGAGACGACGGTTTAACGGCAAATAATGGGGATTAAGTGGTGATGAGGAATGACTTTAGTCCCCCGCGGACTATTTTTATTTCTCTCGTGCGAGTGCGGCCGGAGAAATGAGACAGATAATGATGATGTGCGCCTGGATGGTGTACACACCGACTGGGCTTTGTGGTTGGGCGTTAGCTTTCCACACCGGCAGTCTCCCTCCGCGCAACCCCAATCGCGCCGGGATACATCGCACGCTGTGTCGGTGGGATGATAGGGAGGGGGGCTCAGGTGCATTAGGAGGGATTTATTGCAATTAGATGAGTTGTTTGGGGTTCATTTGCTGTCTTGGGGTCTTATCGGATGACTTTTTTTTCGTTGGGGCGACACGGATGAAAAAATTTAATAGAAAAAATTTGTTTTCGGGCGATTGAAATCGGGTATTGAAATCAGTAGCGAAGTGCACGGAGAAAAATGTTCAGTAAAAATTACGGAACTCTCACTTCACTCACCGATTACGGAATAGACTCAGAAAATTTAAGTGACGGTATCGTAATTTTTCACAAGAGATTCAGATAAAAATTAAGAAACGCTCCGGAAAAATTCCGTGACAGTTCCGTAAAATTTCCTACAACCACATTTCGCTCCGGAATTACAGAAAAGATACGTAATTTTTATTGAATATTTCTCTCCGTGTGGTAAAAGGATATAGGGGAGGTTGGGGTAAGACGGACACTTTTGACGTTTTTTTTAATGTTAAATGTTAATGAGGGGGCGAAAGGTTGATAAAATTTAATATTTTTTTTTTCTCAAACCAAGAAACAATTCTTTCCCTTTGCGATGAGCCTAAACTGAGCTCAATTGATCAATTTGTTTCCGAGTTATGAATAATTTTTAAAAAGTCTAAAGTGTCCGTTTTATCCCACCCTCGCCTAAGTCAATTTTGAGTATTGACCAGTTTTCAATGAATATCTCGGAATCTGAGGGAGATAGCAAAATTTTTGCTATAACCTTTTTTGTGGAGCCGACTGAGTGCTACAACAAATGCAATTACGAAAATTTCGCTATCTCTCTTAGATTCGGAAATATTCTGCAAAAACTCAACTGGGAGATAAGTAGACTTATCTCCGTTTACCACTTCACTACTGAAATGTTGAATGGAAAATATTCAATAGAAAAAGTCAAGGTTTTTTGTGTTATTTTCTTGATGAGAATGAAATAAACTTTGTAAATTTGAGCCGAGACGATTCTATAGAAAATATCTGAAGAAAATAAGTTATATGGAAAAATCGAATTCTGTAAATTTTTTCTGTTGAATATTTTTTAGGGAATATTTGCATGAAATCGGATAAAAACTAATAGAAAGTTCAATAGAAAGCCAATAGAATTATCTAACGAATTCGCTAGGCTCTATTAAATTTTTTCGTGCGTATAGTTGGGAATAATGGGAATTGCAGGGGCGATTAAATTTAATTTTGGAGGAAAGAAAGATGAAATTTCAAATTTCATTGAAAATTCAGTGGAATTCTAAATGTTTAAGCAGCGGAAGGACGAGAATTCCGTAATTCACTTGAATTTTCAATCAAAACATAAATATTCGTGATGTGATTAAGCGAAATTGCTAGTCAATTGGAAATTCAAAAATCTATTTACGTGAATTTTTCTCATTTATCTTAATTCTCATGGAATAATTAAACTAAAATTTACAGTTTTCCTGATTTTTTTTTTAATAAAAAAATGTGAATTTTCAATTATCGAATTTCCTGAAATTTCAGTGGAACTGCACTATTAGAAAAAATGAAATTTCATGGGCATTTCAGCAGTATTTTCAAAACAGCCACATTTAATTCAATTTAGGGGGAGAGGGAAACACCGTGGAATCTGTAATTTCATCGAAAATTAAATGAAATTCCGAATTCTTGAGCTGCAGGAAAATGAGAGAATCCCAACTTATTTGAATTTTCAATCAAAACATGACTATATTTTCAAAAATAAAATATATTCAAAACATAAACATAATTTAATTATCATGAAATTATTGAACTGAAAGCTATAGTTCTTATGCATTTTTTCATCAAATTGGAAACTTTGGATTACGAAATTCCCTGAAATTTCAATGGAATTGTATTCCTACAAAAAAATTGACCTATCATGGACTGTTCAGTAACAATTTTCACGAGAATGACACAGAAGTGGATTTAGAGATAAACATTCCGTTCTATTCCATTGAATCGATTTTTTTCATCATTTTTTAATTTGTTTTTTTTTCGCTACGTTTTGATGAAACGATTGTCGATAGACTCCCGTGATACGATTTTTGGGGTCAGTGAACGTCTGCATATTTGAGTGATGAACCGCGAGGGCAGCGATAATTGATAAGGAAATCGAGGATAAACTCATTCATCCAATTAATGAGATTGTAATGGTTTTTTTGAGTGTAATTTTTATTTTTTAATTGGGAGAGATTAAAGGATAGTTCGAGCTGCTCAAATGCAAACAAGTCTCGCAATTCATGTAAACAAACTAGGTATTGATAGAAATGGACTGTTTTTTCTTAAATGCGGACGAAAAAGCGTTTTTTCTCATCATGTTAGAAAATAGAGAATTGCCGAAGGGTTCAGAGTAAGAAATTCGTTCTCTTCACGACATACTTTCCAATCTCATCATTCATTTATCAACTCATCACCCAAAAAACCATGATTGTATTCTTCTTCGTTCCATTTTTTTTTCAAATTTTATGACATGCATTTGCCAAAATATAAAATAAAAAAATCTAGGGTTAACGAATAATAAATTCGTTCCATTCACCCCATATTTTCCAATCTCATCATTTATTTATCAACTTATCACCCAAAAAATCATGATTACATTCTCCTTTCTTCCTATAAAATTGATGACAAGTATGATCGCACATTTTAATTTCCTCAAATTTGTACAATAATTCTTATCCTCTATCAATATAAACTCCTTGGTGTTTCACATTCGTGAATGATAAACCTACAGTGGCCTGTTGTAATTTATGTACAGCTGCAGGGACACGGGTAATGGCAGCGCCCGAATTTTATTTCTCATGTGCTCCGACAAGTTACCAATGTGAACATTATGAGCGAACACTTGTGAAGCTCCATTCCTCAGTGCATCCGGGGACTCTCGAGGCAGAGACAGTGGGCCATCATTGCTACTCATGTGGCGACCCAGGTCGAACAGGGAATCCCAGATGAAATCGGGGATTCCACAGACTTTAGGATTTTTACTGGGGCTCCTCTTGCTCCCCGACCCCTCGTCGTCCTCATCGCTGGAGCTCATCAGTGAGTTCCAATCTGGAGTCTCAAACTTGCTGGAGTCGGGTGTTTTATCGTTGGAGCCTTTGGAATTCGAGCCCTTGGAAGATGTCGCCTCGCTCCCATCAGTCCCACGATCCCCAAGACGACTCGAGGTCCAGTCCCCCTCGAGTTCCCTCTCAGACAGCAGTTTCCTCCACTTTTTCTTCTTCGCTGGACTCTGAAAGTCGCACCTCTCAGAGCTCGTGCCCTCCCCAGTGTCTGAACATTTACTCGATTTATTCTCGTTATCTCTCTTGAACGACTTCTCAGGGACCTGAGGCTCTCCATTTTTCGCTGATGAGCAATTGCTACTTTCTGATTGAGACGAATTGCTCTTATCACTGTTGACGTTTGACCTGTCGCCCACTAATCTCACTCCATCGTTCACTTCAGAATGATCTTCAGCACTCAGTGGCTTGTTTTTGCACGCATCATTTCCATTAGTAAATGCCTTCGATTCTGCCTCAATTCGAGATGAATTCGGTTCAGTTTCGTCCACGACCATGGGCTCCTCTCCCTCCCCCATGTCCTCGTCCTCTCCGTTTGTTTTCTCCTGCTCTGGGGAATGGAGACAGTGAGGTTGGTGATTCATGAATGAGGACAGTGAGGACGACGAGGAGGAGGATGAGGCCATGGAGTCGATGGAGATTTTTTTACTCGGCACAGGCTTCACGTCCTCGTCTGTGTCGCTGTCCTCCAGCTCTGGGAGACTATTGGGTTTCGATCGGGTCAGGACTCTCACCTCTTGGGGGCCTCTGTTGGGGCGGGGGTCCGCGTAGACGAGGAGGCGGGTCCTGCTGGAGGTGCCTGCGTCCTCCTCGTTATCGCTGGATGTCCTGCTGACTGAATCGTCGTACACGAACTCGACGTGACTGCTCAGGGGCAGGCTTGGGTGGGAATTTCGCTCTCTCCTGGTGTCTGAGGTTATCGGGTCCCTTGACTCCAGCTCTGGGTGCTCCTGCCAGATTATTCCACGGAGGTGGCTGCGGATGGAACATCTGCAGAGGTCTTGGAGGGATAGAGGCTCTGAGGAAGCTGGAAAATGGAGTTAAATTGGGTTATTTTGGGCATTGTTTGGTCATGATGGTATTGTGAATTGTGAATGATGGAATTGTGAAAAATGAATTGTTTATTTCGTGTGATTCAAAGATTTTTGTTGAAATGAATAGAAAAATTACAAATGATGTTTTATTTGATTCAAATGTTTTCATTCCCCGTAATCCATTAATTTTGCTTCATTCATCGAAATAAAAAATAAATATCCAATATTCGCATTTGAGAAATTAGCAAATGCATTATTTATTGAATGTGATTGAACCATTTTCAGTGAAATGAATAGAAACATTTCAAATGAAGAGTTTTATTAGATTTTTTAATTTCTCATAAGTGATTAATTTTTCGTTATTTTTCGAAATAAAAAATTGGGTGGATAGCTTACGCAGTTGAATGATGGTCTGGTCCTCGTCGTTGGGGACAACTAAGGCAGCAAATGCCACGGGGAGCATTGCCTTGTGCCTCCATGTGTCTGCGTCAACTCGTTCAATCCGCAGTAAGTGGTCCTTGTAGGGCATCACCAGGATGCCACCCACTTTGACGAACTGCTTTATGAAGGCTTCATGGGACTCGGGGCACGCTGCCCCACAGTACACTCTGTCGTATTGTCTGTTTGGTATTACTCTCAAAAAATTTCCTGTCGAGGGGAATTGTTTTTGCTTTATGCATTTACCGTGAAAACTATTGGTCGGAGTGGAAAATATCAATTAATATTTTTCTTGCTGATGAAATTCTCTATAAAATTCGCAAATGCGCAATTGATGAAGATAAATTTATCTTCATCAATTGCGCATTCATCTTGGAAACAATATGAAGGGAAAAATTAAAGCTTCTGGCATTTTTTATTAAAATGACTCGTTACGGAGATAATCCAATATTCTTGGTGAAATTCAAAATTGATTGACAGAATTCATTCATCAATTAATCTTTCCTAATTACGCGTTTCGCTGGGGAATGAGTGATTTTAGAAGGAAATTCACAAGAAAATGTCCTTTGACATTCAATATTTTTCTTACCAAGATTAATCGACCGTAAATAAGTCACGAAAATGCAACGTGTTCGCTACGTTTAATTACGTTTACGGTTGACTGAATATTTTCGGGGGTTAATGAATATTAAAAAGACTGAATATTTAATAATATCAACAACAGATGCAAGTCTAAGTGGAAAATGTCAATTAATATTTTTTCTAGCTGATGAAATTCTCTATAAAAAATTGGTTCGGACAATTCCCCTGAAACTCTTCGTTATCGAGAGGATTCAACTGTAGCTCTAGTTCACCAATTTATCTTCATCAATTGCGCATTTATCTTGAAAACAATTTGAGGGGAAAAATTAAACCTTCTGGCATTTTTTTAATTAAAATCACTCGTTACGGACATAATTCAATATTCATCGTGAAGTTCAAAATCGATTGACAGAATTAATTCATCAATTAATCTTTGCTAATTGCGCGTTTCGCTGGGGAATGAGTTATTTTAAGAGGAAATTTACAAGAAATTGTCCTTTGACATTCAATATTTTTCTTACCAAGATCAATCGACCGTAAATAAGTCACGAAAATTCAACGTGTTCGCTACGTTTAATTACGTTTACTGTTGATTCAATATTCTCGGGGGTTATTGAACGCTTCTATTGAATAAAAAGACTAAATACTTAATAATATCAGCAATGAATGCAGGTGCTCACTGGTTTGAAGAGAAAATGTCAATTAATATTTTTCTAGCTGATGAAATTCTCTATGAAAAATTTCTTCTGACAGTTTCCCCTGAAATTCTTCGTTATCGAGAGGATTCAACTGGAGCTCTAGTTCATATTTTTTATTAAAACCACTCGTTACGGAGATAATTCAATATTCATCGTGAAGTTCAAAATCGATTGACAGAATTAATTCATCAATTAATCTTTGCAAATTGCGCGTTTCGCTGGGGAATGAGTTATTTTAAGAGGAAATTTACAAGAAATTGTCCTTTGACATTCAATATTTTTCTTACCAAGATCAATCGACCGTAAATAAGTCACGAAAATTCAACGTGTTCGCTACGTTTAATTACGTTTACTGTTGATTCAATATTCTCGGGGGTTATTGAACGCTTCTATTGAATAAAAAGACTAAATACTTAATAATATCAGCAATGAATGCAGGTGCTCACTGGTTTGAAGAGAAAATGTCAATTAATATTTTTCTAGCTGATGAAATTCTCTATGAAAAATTTCTTCTGACAGTTTCCCCTGAAATTCTTCGTTATCGAGAGGATTCAACTGGAGCTCTAGTTCATATTTTTTATTAAAACCACTCGTTACGGAGATAATTCAATATTCATCGTGAAGTTCAAAATCGATTGACAGAATTAATTCATCAATTAATCTTTGCAAATTGCGCGTTTCGCTGGGGAATGAGTTATTTTAAGAGGAAATTTACAAGAAATTGTCCTTTGACATTCAATATTTTTCTTACCAAGATCAATCGACCGTAAATAAGTCACGAAAATTCAACGTGTTCGCTACGTTCAATTACGTTTACTGTTGATTTATTATTCTCGTGGGTTATTGAACGTTTCTATTGAATGAAAAGACTAAATACTTCATAATATCAGTAATGAATGCAGGTGCTCACTGATTTGAAGAGAAAATGTCAATTAATATTTTTCTAGCTGATAAAATTCTCTATGAAAAATTTCTTCTGACAGTTTCCCCTGAAATTCTTCGTTATCGAGAGGATTCAACTGGAGCTCTAGTTCATATTTTTTATTAAAACCACTCGTTACGGAGATAATTCAATATTCATCGTGAAGTTCAAAATCGATTGACAGAATTAATTCATCAATTAATCTTTGCAAATTGCGCGTTTCGCTGGGGAATGAGTTATTTTAAGAGGAAATTTACAAGAAATTGTCCTTTGACATTCAATATTTTTCTTACCAAGATCAATCGACCGTAAATAAGTCACGAAAATTCAACGTGTTCGCTACGTTTAATTACGTTTACTGTTGATTCAATATTCTCGGGGGTTATTGAACGCTTCTATTGAATAAAAAGACTGAATACTTAATAATATCAGCAATAAATGGAGGTGCTCACCATGTATAAAAACTGGTTCACAAAAATCAAATTCATTCAACGCCTGCGATTTTTGTTTGAACTCCTCAAGTCTCTCATAAGCATATTCCATACAGTCCTTATTCAACTCGATTCCATGGTTAGTTCCATGATGACCTGTGACCAAAAACCCCTCATCAACCCGTCCAAGAGTAAAACAAATCCTTAAGAATGTTTATCCATTTTCCGAAAATCAATTTTTTTCATTTTTGCTTGGGGCGATTTTTTCTATTTCCTCATGTATTTTTTCTTATATCTTTTCATGTAATTGGTTTTTCACGTCTCTCCAACTTGGTTTGTGGATTCAAATGTTTATCGATATAGTTCCACAGGAATTTCAAGAAATTTCGTCATCGAAAATTTACAATTTGATGAAAATCAAGAAAATTCAGGTTAATATAATCTTGAATTTTTGAAGAATTGAAAATTTGGATAATTCGGAACTGCATATTTATGTTTTGATTAGAAACTCAAGTAAATTGAGGAATTCTCGTGTTCCCGCTGCTCTAAAATATGGAGCTCCATTGAATTTTCAAAAAAATTTCAAATTTAATTTTTGTTTCCTCCTAAATAGAATTCAATGTCACTCTTAAAAATTACTACTAAACTGTAAATAAAATTCCAATTGTTTTCCTACATTCAAATTTGATGAAAAAATTAATGAAAACTTTAAATTCTAGTCGAATTATTCCACGAAAATTACAATTAATCATTGAAATTTAGGTAGATATATTCTTAAATTTTCAATGAATTAAAAGTTCACTGTAATTTTTTAATGAAATATTCATTCATTGTGATTGAAAATTCAACTTCCTGCTGCTCAAAAATTCAGAATTCCCCAGAAATTCCGCCAAAATCCTAAATTTCATAATTTTCCCCCAAATAAAATTCAACTTCCCCCTCGCCATTTTAAATTTCGCATTTTTCCCCAAAATTTTCTGAAACTTTGCTATTAAATATAAGTGTTTCAATTGAAAATTCGAGTACATTGAAGAATTCTCGTCTTCCTTCTACTAAAAAAAATGGAATTCGCTTGAAATTTTCCTGAAATTTAAAATTTTGATTATACCTTCCCCCCCCCCTTCGAATCAAATTCAATGTCAGTCCTCTGAAAATGACTACTAAATTGTGAAATTAAATTGAAAAGTCAAATTCAATGAAAAAATCAACGAAAGCTGTAAATTTGAGTTCAATAATTCCCCAAAACTCAGTGGAAACCAGGAAAATTGAGATAAATATATTTTGTCATTTCCAATTAATTAATTTCAATTAATCTCAATAATTAAAAATGCAGCACAATTTGTTATTAGGGAAAGTTGGGGTAAAACGGAGTTTTGACTTATTTAAAAATGTTAATGAGGGGTTGAAATGTTGACAAAATTTAATTACTTTTTTTTTCACTACAAAGAAAAATTATTTCCCTTTGTGACGAGCCTCAATTGAGCTCAACTGATAAATTTGTTCCATAGTTATGAATAATTTAAAAAAAGTCTAGTGTCCATTTTACCCCAGCCTCCCCTAAATACCAGTATTTCACCTAAAAATTTCAATGAATCGGAGAATTCGTCTTCCTGCTGCTCAAAAACAGAATTCCCCAACAATTCTCCCAAAATTCAAAATTTCATAATTTTCCCCCAAATAAAATTCACCATGCCCTCCCCGCCCCGCCAATTTCTCATTTTCCCCAAAATTTTCTGAAATCCGGATAAACAATCTCCCCCGGGAACTCACTCAGAAGGAGTCCTGCCATGGTACTGAGGTACCCAGTTCCCGAGCCGACATTCAGAAAGCTCAAGCCAGCCTCCAACGACAGTCCCTCCATGACCTTGGAGTAGACACAAGGCGCCGAGAGATGTATATTCCCAATCTTCCATGAGACATCCTTGTACGCCCCATCCCTGTGAGACGCCAGGACATAATCCCCTCTGTCCACAGCGCGAAAAACCCTCTCAACTTTTTTCGTCTTTATGTACCGCAACAAGCGCAATGTGTCCACGAGATCGTCATTATTCTCGCCACTATTGAGGACATTACCCATGTCTGGAACATGTAACAGTCGCCTGTTTATTCTCTCCGTATGAATAACAAATGCCCCGCGAATGAACCGTGAATAAATAGCGAATGGACCGATGTGTTCAGGGGAAAATGTGTCATCAGAGCGTCAAATTCGTTCTGTTTAACTCCATTCGCCTCAACATCGCACAAATGCGAGACATTTTCTTTTTTATTATTGACACCAAGTAAATATAGTCTGCTCACCGATTTAGACGACCACCGGAATCCCCCAGAACCACGAATTCCACTATTTCACTGAACTAAAGTCCTTAGTCCTCGGTTTTTATTACTCCGACTCGTGACGACTCAACAGTAATGATCGGGGCGAGGAATCGACGTTCACCACCGCCGTTGACATTTGAATACAACTGCTTTCGCTTTATTTTTGATAAACAGAGGGAATGATACGTGTGTGCACCAGCCGCCGGGAGGGGGAACGGTAATCCAGTTTTTTGAAGTTGACGCCACTGCGGAGGACCACGGGATAACCAACAAATAGAACGACTCTGCGGGATTTTCACGCGTTTCGGGTAATTGGGGCTCGCGGGGACACTCTGCGGTTGAGGGAGATTAATTGCTGATGGGATTTTTAATGGAATAAAAGGTTTTTGTTGTTGTTTTTGAAAGGATTGGGTTTTTGGGGACGATGTGGCGTTGGATTTTCGTGGCGGTGCGCGCAGGCGCGGGTGACTACGCCGGGCGGTGGACGGCTATTGGTTCTGTTATGTCTAGGGTCTCTGGACTTTTTTAAAAATTTGTTCAGGATGTAATTGGTGGTAAAAGCAATTGGGGAAAATTGGGTTCACTTTTCTTTTGGACTTTTTCGGTATGAAAACAGCTCTACATTTTTTTTCTTTTCATTAAAAATTATTGAAGAAGATCGTGAATAAATTTCGGACTTTGTTAATTAATGGATTAATTAATTAGTATATTTACTTATTTTATTGACATAAAACGAATTTAATTAGTATAGTGTATGAAGTTAATTTAAGTAGTAGATTAATAAACTTAAATGTGTATTACATTTAATACAAGTAGTTTATGCAAGATTAGGTTAAATTAATTTTTTTTTTCATTTTTTCGACTTGAGTTATTTCCTTCAAAAATGAAACCTTTGATAATCGAACAATTCTTTCTATTAAAATTATTTATAAAGCAAATTGTTGAAGAATTACTTTCCCACTATTTTTTCTACTCTTTTCCAACATAAAATGATCAATTTTTTTTAATAAAAAAATTTCGAAAAAATATCGGTTCCTGCACTTCAAAATGTGGAGACATGATCACTTTTTCAAAAAAAATGTATTATTTCTTTTGCTCACGGAAAATAAATCGTGTGCATTTTTTTTAGTTCGAAATTGTGTGAAATACTACATAATCCCGTTAATAAACAATCCAAAACTTCATATGAATAAATGCAAAACAACTTCATCTATTTTCTTCAAAATTGCAACTATTCATAATTGAAAAATTCTATCTATTAAAATTGTTTATGAAACAAATGGTTGAAGGATTACTTTTCCAACATAAAAATTATTACTTTCTCATCCTCACGGGAAAAAAATCGTATTGTATATGTTCATATTATGGCCGAATAATCAATTAGTAAGAAATGAAACGGTTGAATAAAAATTCAGAAAATAACAATCTCATAATCTCGTCAATAAAAAATCCTAAACTTCATAACAACACGGAGAGAAATGTTCAGTAAAAATTACGGAACTCACAATTCACTCACCGATTACGGAATCGACTCAGAAAATTTAAGTGACGGTATCGCAATTTTTCACAGGAAATTCAGATAAAAATTACGGGACGGTCCGGAAAAATTCCATATGACAGTTCCGTAAAATTCCCTACAACTATATTTCGCTCCGGAATTACGGACAAGATAGGTCATTTTTATTGAATATTTCTCTCCATGAAGAATAAACGCAATTCTTAAAAATCACGCCCTCCATTAAAATCATAAATAAACCCTATTGATTAACAAAATTATTGAATACCCAGCGGGACTCGACAATCCGTTACATAAGAATATAATAAATTTTCCGCTCATTACAAAACATTTTATTATCCCCAAACCCCCAAATAAAAATGGTTCGCCACAAGTGAAAATAAAACAGTTCGATAATTCCTATTCCTCTCTCGATAATTCTCTTCTCGCAATCCTCTCCCCAATGTACACTATAAAATTAATATATACCCAATAGAGCTGTCTAGCAAATTCGCTCGGAATTTTTATTAATTTTTTTCGTATTTATTCAGAAAAAAATCCTATCTATTTTTTACTTTTAAATAGCTTGAAATGTTCCATTATATATAAATGCTCGCATTATGGCCGAATAATCAATTAGAAATGAAACGGTTGAATAAAGATTCAGAAAACAACAATCTCATAATCTCGTCAATACAAAATCCGAAAATTCATAATCATCATAAAAATCGTGCATTCCTCCATTAAAATCATAAATAAACTCTATTGATTAACAAAACTATTGAATACCCAGCGGGACTCGACAATCCGTTACATAAGAAAATCATAAATTTTCCGCTCATTACAAAAAATTTGTTATCCCCCAATCCCCAAATAAAAATGTTTCGCCACAAGTGAAAATAAAACCGTTCGATAATTCCTATTCCCCTCTCGATTATCCTCTCCTCAATGTACAGCATAAAATTAATAGAAACCCAATAGAGCTGTCTAGCAAATTCTCTCGGGATTTTTATTAATTTTTTTCGTATTTATTCAGAAAAAAATTCTATTCATTTTTTACTTTTAAATAGCTTGAAATATTCCATTGCTACATCAGATCTCTCATAATAAGCAACAATCTATATATAAATGCTCGTATTATGGCCGAATAATCAATTAGTAAGAAATGAAACGGTTGAATAAAGATTCAGAAAACAACAATCTCATAATCTCGTCAATACAAAATCCTAAAATTCATAATCATCATAAAAACCGTGCATTCCTCCATTAAAATCATAAATAAACCCTATTGATTAACAAAACTATTGAACACCCAGCGGGACTCATCGGGACAATCCGTTACATAAGAATATCATGAATTTTCCGCTCATTAAAAAAATTTGTTATCCCCAAACCCCTAAATAAAAATGTTTCGCCACAAGTGCAAATAAAACAGTTCGATAATTCCTATTCCCCTCTCGATTATTCTCTTCTCGCAATCCTCTCCCCAATGTACAGCATAAAATTAATAGAAACTCAATAGAGCTGTCTAGCAAATTCTCTCGGGATTTTTATTAATTTTTTCCGTATTTATTCAGAAAAAAATTCTATTCATGCTGCATTAGATCTCTCATAATAAGCAACAATCTATATATAAATGCTCGTATTATGGCCGAATAATCAATTAGTAAGAAATGAAACGGTTGAATAAAGATTCAGAAAACAACAATCTCATAATTTCGTCAATACAAAATCCTAAAATTCATAATCATCATAAAAACCGTGCATTCCTCCATTAAAATCATAAATAAACCCTATTGATTAACAAAACTATTGAACACCCAGCGGGACTCATCGGGACAATCCGTTACATAAGAATATCATGAATTTTCCGCTCATTACAAAAAATTTGTTATCCCCAAACCCCTAAATAAAAATGTTTCGCCACAAGTGAAAATAAAACAGTTCGATAATTCCTATTCCCCCCTCGATTATCCTCTCCCCGATGTACAGTATAATGCAAAAAACCACGTGTGAATCGGCCCTTAACTCCCGATGCCCGTCCTAAGTGTCGCGCGTGCGCACTGATAGTATTGTTTCTGCACTCGGATGATGGCGACTGGTAACTTCAAAACGTGAGTTTATCGTGATATTATTCACAATATATATAACATTTGAGGTGTGTATAAGCCTCGATAGCAATGCTAACACCTAGAATATAGTTCAAAGAGTCGAGGGAAACGATAATTATGCCCCCAAACTCATTAAATACGAAAGTAATTGTCGACCGACAATTCGATTGAGTCGTTCGCGGAGAGACTATATGCCCGTCAGCTTGTATATCTTTTCCCGTTCCGAACATTAACGCAGCACTAGTTTCATTCAACGCACAATGGAACATTCTGCGCACCAAGTAATTTGTTAATTAGGGCTTTCAATCAGTAACGGAGGGAATACTATTTATTTTGCACGAATGAAATCGATGGAATGATGGAAACAAAAAATATGCGGAAGCCACCTCGTGACTACTTGAATACTAATGGAACAATTGTAGTTTGCAATTGACACATTTTGCACTATTTCGTCTATTTATTATTTACGATAAATTGCATTAATAGTTCTAAAGGGGTTACGGGTGTCCAAAGTCAGCAATAAATCCCGGAAAATCGCGTTTTCCGTTTTTCCTCCTCTGATTTTAATAAATAAAATATTCCCAGTGAATTAATTTCACCAGTTGTCTAAATAATTTTGTTTTTAACGTCTATTTCCGGTCTGTTGACGGTAAATATCGCCTTTACGCATAAATTCGTAAATTGTTGATTAACAATTAAAAAAGAAAAAATTTCCTGAACGGTTTTAGCGGTTTATTGCGAGAATTTTGCGGAATTGTTGATTATCCGGAAATTGTATCATCGTTGTATACTTTAGAGGTTAACGTTTACCCGATTTACCCGCCACTCATCGATAATCATTCGCGGGAGTCAAATAACATCGCTCGGAGCCTTGAAAAAAACCCCGAAAACATCGGACAATAAAACAGCTCGAGATCCCCGAAAAAACCGCAATTATTGTGAACAAGTGTGAGTTTAACAGAAAAACCATTTTAAAGAGGAACACGCCAGTCTCCGGTTGCTGAAATCCCCCTCGACCAATGGGATTTTAACGTCAGTGTGACGTCACACTGGAGAAATCGCTGCCATTGGCGGACGTGGGCTGTAATGTTTAGGGCGGGTTCGCATGAAATTTCCATTCAACATTTTCCGAGACAATTAATTTCCGCTGAATCAAAAAAAATATTTCGTCAATCGGTTTTGCATTGATTGATGTGTAAATTCAAGAGGTGGATGCGCACAGCTGACGGGGGGAAATTAACGCGAAGACGTGGTGCGGGACAAAAGGCGTCGACTCGCAACAGTCGCACCTCATGTAGTCAATGAGAACGTGACTTGAACGTAAGCAGCAAGAACTCGAATGCTCAAATGGTGTCTTAAAGTTTTACCTTAAACTTAGTGTTTAGTTGTTAATATAATGTGTTAGTTGTTTCCGTCGATCCATTGAACTCCATTGATCCGGGGGAATTGAATGCAACCAATGTTGCGGACGGTTTTACTACTGTAAATTACGGGAAATAATCGTGGACGGGGCTGGCGATCGAGGGCTGCAGACACCCGAGACGAATGATTTTAGTACGTAACTCTTGTCTAGGTGCTACGTGCGGCAATCTTATCGCCGGGTCAACTCAGTATTTATTTTTATGTAATCGAATTGTCGTGCGGCTGGAGTAAACTGCTTTTTACGTGGGGGAGAGGATTTTTGGCTCCGGGACTGAGGGCTCGGTGCGTTATTATTGTTCGTTGGGATTGTCTGTTGGCGGGCCTTTCGAAATACTTTTTTTCGCCGATTTTGTGGAGTAATTAGTGGGAATTGGGCACCCGAGGGCTCGGGATTTTTTCAAGATCAGAGGTAATTTGATGGTGTGGGAGTTGATGGTACGTTTCTTTATTTTTTTTTATGTTTTTGTTTCGAGAGGTGATGATTTTGCTCGACTGGCGGAGGCTCCCTCTTTGTGTTGTATTTTTTATTGATTTAGATTGTCTGGGGTTTTAATTTCTTGGCAATGAGGAAATTTTTTTTTGGGGAAGGAATTGGGGGTTTAGCTCAGGTGTTGGTGAAGGGTTTATTGAATTAACAGTTTTTTTTTTCATCAATTTTCATTAATTTTTGCATTGTTTTCATTAATTTTGGTATTGATTTCACACTTCGATGATCTACTGTTTTTTATTTGCAAAAATAGGAGATTATTTATTGTCTTTTATTCAGATTTTTGTTAATTTTAATTCGTTATGGTTTAATTTAGTGTTAACGAGGAGAATTTATCGATTTTAGATCGAGGGAATTAAAAAATTTAATTTAGTTATTCAAGGTTTTATTGAACTATTCATTTTTAGTGCGAAAATTGGGGTGAGGATGTTTTATCCTGTTTTTAAAGTTAATTTACATGTGGGTTTTAATGAAGGTTTCAACCTTTGATAGTCTACTGAATTTTAATTGCAAAATAGTCGACTATTTATTCTATTCTCTTCGGTTTTTTGTTAATTTCGATATCTAAGGTTTTTTTATTAGGAAATTAGGAAATTTAATTTAGTAGTTGAAGACTTGAATTATTTATTGTCATTGCAGAAATTGAGTTGAAAATTTTTTATTCAGTTTTTAAAATTAATTTTCATGTGGGTTTCAATGAAAATTTCAATTTTTGATGATGCACTGATTTTTAATTGCAAAAATAGTAAATTATTATTTCTTTTTTATACGATTTTTTGTTAATTTCCATTCTTTGTGTTTTTAATTTATTGTTAACAAGGAGAATTCATCGTTTTTAAACCGAGAGAATTAGAAAATTAAATTTAGTTATTGAAGGTTTTATCGAACTATTTATTTTCATTGCAAAAATTGGATTGAGTCTTCTTTTTTATTCAGTTTTCCATGAATTTCCATGAAGGTTTCAATGAAGGTGTCAATCTCTGCTGATCTATTGATTTTTAATTGTAAAAATCCTGGATTCTTTATTCTCTTTTATTGACCTTTATTTCACTTCAATTCCTCGTTTTTTATTTCCTATTAACGCGAAGAATTTATCCATTTTAGATCAAGAGAATTATGAAATTAAATTTATTTACTGAAGGTTTTATTGAACTATTTATTTTTATTTCAAAAATTCGGTTCAGTCTTCTTTTTTATTCAGATCTTAAATTAAATTTTCAATGGAGATTCCGACTTTCGCCAATTTACTGATTTTTTATTGCAAGAGTAGTGAATTGCTTATTCTTCTCCTTCGATAAAACTTATTGAAGCTAAATTAGCGAAGCGATTCATATCAATAAAAGATGTGCAACGATGAATTATTTATTCTCGTCCTTCGATGAAGCTCATTGAATACGAACTTATTAGAGGCATTTCTCATCACTGATGATTAACGATTACCGGAATGTTTTCATTTCTCAACAGAATGAATGAGGAGATTGTCCCCGAGGACAGGCAGAGCAGTAGCGTTGAAGTACAGCCAGCTGATGATCACAGTGCCCACGTTATGCCACTACTGTACATTCAGCCGAATAAACTGGGCAGTGGTCAGTCACCTACGACGAGTCAGCCCCTGTTGGGAGGTAATCAGTCCCAGCTGACTGCGATAATCAACCCCATCAGCAGTCCAGTAAGTTTTCACTCGTCCCTCATCACTCATCTAATTTCACTCCAAGGAATTCTCATTCATTAATTGTGTTTCCATTCAGCTCGTCGCGAACCAGAATAAAGTTTTTTTCCAGAGCCCCAGTTCAGGGGCTCTACCCCAGAACAAGCAACACATTGTGATAAGACATCCAAATGTGATAGGAAATGTGAGCGCAGCACCTCAGAGTCAGGGACAGAAGCACATACTTCTGAGAGGGCCAAACACATCAAATGCCCAGATTCTCCCATTGAACAGTGCAACACCTGGAGCTGTAGCTCCAGCAGGAGCCCCCGGTGGTAAGCACGCGTTTGCCTATCTGGGGACACTCATCAAGCCGAATAAAACGAGGGAATCTGTCGTGATTCCTGCAGGTAAAATAAATAAATCATCTTGATAAATATTAAGAACAAATGTAAAATGCATCATCTTCAATCGTGAATAACTCAGGAACGGTAGAGTCAAAATTTTCGACTTTAATTTCATTTTCAAGCTTGAAAAAATACCTTGAAAATGAGCCCTGACTTGTCCGAATCGCATCGTCTGGTGAGGAGATATTGACGATTGAAGACAGGGTGTTTTAGCTTATTGTAGAAATGCTTGATATTTGGGGCTTAATTTGAACTCGTGGGGTTTCAGGTGCGATTCCTGCACCTCAGATACAGAAACCGAAGCTGGTGATAGCCCCGATGATCCCTGGCATTGGGCAGACATCAACCAGCTCGACACCAGTGTCGCAATCTCAACCCCAAAAGCACATGGCTAATTTGATTTTACCAGTGTCAATTGGTCAGTCTACTGGAGCCAGCAAACAAAGTACGTTGAACCTACATTTCAGCAATGGTCAAATTAGTACTGATAGCAAAGGAACCTTCACAGGTGAGTCGATGAGCAAATCATGGTGATGATGTTGGGGATTTTCGAGGGGACACTCTACAGTGGAATTTGTTTAAGGGAGATTTCTAGGCTTTTTCGTAGAGTTTTCCTACAGTTTTTTTTAGTTGATGGGGAATTATGGGGTTTGTTCATTGATTCGATGGATATTAAGTGCTATTTGTTGAGATGACGAAATATTAATTATATTTATATTGGTGATTTTGGTAAATTTGGGTAATTTAAAATTCAGTTACATGTTCGCGTTTTCACGTTCTCAATGCATTTTTAAGCAAATAGTCATAATTTTGCACTAGATTGTTGTTCTATTTGAAAATGTAACATTTCCAAACCAAATAATACGATAATTTAATGAATTATAGGATTTAATATTAATTTCTGGTGCTTGAGGGCCTCATTCTTTCGTGTTTTCATATTCTTGATACATTTTCAATCAAATCCTCATAATCTTCCATTGGTTTGTTGTTTTATTTTAAAATATAAAATTTCTAAGCTTAAAATCTAAAATAAAAAACATAAATAATGAGCCAATTCAATAAATTACAGAAATTTAATATCAATTTCTGTGGTTTGAGGAAAAAAGCCATTTTTGTCCTTGTTAATTCTTCATCAATTTTTTAATTTTCAAAAATCGTCAGAATTCATTGATTTGAAAAATTCCCCATGAGCAAATGAGCCCCATAACTAAAAAATTATTCTTCGAATCTTCAAATTTACTTTGTTTTCTATTTTCTGCATTGAAAAAGTCCAGGAAATTCTCGTGCATAAATTCCACCACGAGAAATGTCTCACTGGGTCATCCCCACTGGTTGCTGAGCTATCAAGAGTATCATTTCATTCTCCCCCTGAAACCCTTCTATCCCCCATTTTCTCCCCACTAATTAAAAATCATAAAAATCTTGGGGTTGTAGTGCTGCGAGAGTCAAAATCCACGAATGCCTCCTCATACCCGCCCCCGCTGCACCCAATAACGAAGATGAGTCTTCTGAATGTCAACAAGAATCCCAACAATTCCTCAGACAGTATAAAGATAACCGAGAATCCAGACTCAGCTGTAATAACTCCGATTCCGAAGAAGGAGGAGACGATGGCGTCGGAGAAGCGAAAGAAAACGATCAGTAATATTCTGCGAGGCTCCACTGAGAAGAGACCGAAGAAGCAGATATTTCCGAAGAATCAGGACAGCATGGACATCAGTTATTCCGTCAGCAGCCCGGAGGGGGATCAGGACAGTGGGAAGAAGTCGAATGACGACGAGATCACTCTCATCAAAGTGGTGCAGGGGGAGGACAAGGCCAGGAGAAAATCGTCGGTTGATGATGACATCAAAATTGAGGTTGTCAAGAGTACCAGCAGTGGAGGAGGGGCTTCTGGGGCTGACAGGCAGGACAGGAAGAACGAGAAGACCAATGGGAACTGCGAGGATATCAAGGAGATAATTCATGGGAATCACAGCGATCCCAATTTCGATGCTGCCAAGGCTTTGGACTGGAAGGATGGGGTTGGCTCACTACCTGGGAGTAGTTTGAAGGTAATGATGGAGTCTTTTGGGGGAGAAGAGAGTATTCTGGGGAATTATGAGGATGGAAAGTTTTCAGTAGTGTTTTAAGGACGAAATATTTTATTTAAAATTCATGTGTCAGTAATATTGCATTCTCAAATTCTGAAAAATATTCTGGAATCAAAAGTACTTAAATTTTTGGTCAAGATATTCAAAATATTTAATTTTGAAAATTTTGTATTGAACATTGCAGCTATTGTTCAAGCCCCACTTGACCCTTATTTGGAGAAATATATGTTTTTATTATTCAAATTTTTAAGGCTCGAATTGGATTCATCATTTTGATGAAATTTGAAAGTTTACTTCGTGAGAAAGATTTATAACATAATTATAACATGATTAACAAATTGCCATTTTTGAAGATGACGACCTCATTCGTCAATTACTTCACAAAGAATAGATTTTGGATTCACAAAATCACTTTTTTCAGAATTATAATAAACTTTTCTTCAGAATTTTATCAGAAGTCTATTTTATTCCACTAGAAATTCAATTAACAAATGTTGATAGTCAAAAATACATAAATTTATCGTGGTAAGAGGTATTTGGAAATCCCAAAGAATAACTTATGACACAAAAATAAATATTGTTGCTGTAAAATCCTTTTCTGTGCACAATAACATGAATTTATAATTTCCAGTTTCGCATCAACGAATTCGGTATGATGGAAGTCGTCGATGAGGACGAGAACTCCAAACAGGACAAGCACAACAGCGGAGACAAAGAGAACGTCTGTCTATCCCGAAATTCAACAAAATCTACTCCTGTAACCGCCACCAGTGATAAGAAGAGTCAGTAGAATTCTCCACAATTTTCAATTGTCCAAAACAACTTCATTAAAGTCATTAATTAATCCATCTTAATGAATCTGATCCATCTTTTCTTTAAATTCCAGATGAAGACAAAAAATCTCGACAATCAGTCAGTGCGGATACTTTATACTGCTGTGAGAGTTGTGGATGTTTCGGCATGGCTGCTGAATTTGAAAGTCCAATATCGTGCAGTCCAGCTTGCACTGAGAGGATTGGAGAGAAGAAACAGCTTGCTATGAAGAAGGAGAAGGAAGCAAGGTACTTATAAATGTTGAATGTTGAATAAAATAATTTGATTCGTAACTATTAAATCAATTAACTAATTAATAATTACTTAACTTCATTAAATTAATGAATTACTGTCAATTTAATTCATCAATTTAATCAATTGAATTTATTATTCATTTTCTATCGAAGATTTTACAACAATTGAATGATGTGAAAATAAAATATTAAACGCGACGTTGAAAATTATGTTTTAGAGAGCTACGAGCCAAACGAAAGCGTAAGAAACTGCTGATGCAAGAGCAAAACTCAAAAGAGTCCACCGAAAAACCACCTGAAGTAGAAAACAGGGAAAAAGAGAAGGAGAAAGAAATTGAAAAGGAAAAACGAAAGGCGCGGGAGAGAATTCAGAGGGAGGATCGCATCAAATATGAAAGTGACGAGTCGAGAGATACTTCAACGACTAATATGGATGAGGAGAGTCAAAGCGAGAAAATTGAGCTCAAGGTAGTAAAAAGAGTCTCATTTAATCAACGTATTTTCATTAATATGCAATCCAAATTTTTCTTTCAATACGAAATACCAATAATAATATTTATTGACAAATTATTATTGTTGAGAACTGAATTCAGTGAATTCTAGTCCATTTTTTATCAAGAAAAATATTATTTAATTAAGATTAACACATGAATATTGAGTAAATATTTAAAAATTAAATGATATCAATTAATTTTTTTTTCTCGAGATTATTTGATGAATTATAATTCTTCTAGTACCCCTGGCAAACCGGAAAACACGGATTTTCGTGGTCCAAGTACCTCGAGCATTGCAAATCAAAGGCTGCACCAGTAAAACTGTTCAAAGATCCATTTCCATACGGAAAAAATTTGTTCAAAGTTGGAATGAAACTCGAGGGCATTGATCCTGAACATCCCTCGCGCTACTGCGTCCTGACTGTATTCGAAGTAGTTGGTAAACCCTTGAAATTTTTACATAAATCACACTGGAGTTGATTATTCCGGAATCTAATGGGAGAGTCTTTCAGGCTATCGAATACGTTTGCATTTTGATGGATATCCTGAGAACTTTGACTTCTGGGTAAATGCCGATTCTATGGATATTTTTCCGGTTGGATGGTCTGAGAAGAATGGACACAAATTGGATCCACCCAAGGGTTACGTACCGACTAATTTCAGTTGGAATGCGTATTTGAAGACTTGCAAGGCTACTCCGGCACCTAAGACAGCATTTTCCAGCAAAAGTGTGAGTTTTTATGATATTTTAAGCGTCTCGTTTAATAGAAATAGACTTAACAAATCGATTTTTCACATCTTGGGGAATATGAAACTGTCTAAATGGTGAGATGTTTGAGGAGAAAATTCCCTCCTAAATCTACTTGTTCTCAAGATGAAATCAAAGAGAATGAACGAATATATTGTGAACAGAGGCTTTTTTTTTACTTCTCGTTGAATTTTTTGCAAAAAATTTTCTCGTCTGCAAAAACTTGTTTTAAATTCGATCAGACAGAATTCGTCACTCCTAAGATGTCCCCTAGACTCTATGAATTCCCCAAAATCCATAAAAAATCCACGAAGAATCTGTTCCTGGCCGTCCTATCGTCAGCAACATTGGAACACCAACTTAAAAAAATCCCTAAACCCCCTAAATCCCTACTAATTAATCAATTTAAGTAATTCGTAATCAGTTAATTTGCATCATCCATAGTTATTCAATTCATTCAAGTAAATTATTCTAATTACTTGAATAATTTTGAATTCATTGAATTTTTCATTAATTTAATTTATAGATGTTTAGCTAATTTTAGCTAATCAGTTGAATTTGAAGGTTTTATAACACTTGAAGGATGCTAAAATGAAATATTAAAAGAGATGTTGAAAATCATGTTCAACAAAAGTGTGCGTTGTTGATGATATTCAAATGGTGAGAGATTTGAGGAGAAAATGCCCTCCTTAATCTACTTGTTCTCGGAATAAAACCCAAGAGAATGAACGAATAAATTCCGAACAAATACTTTTTTCACTTTCCGTTGAATTATCTTCAGTAAATTTTCTCACTTCCAAAAAAGTTGTTTTAAATTCGATCTGACAAGCTTCATTACTCCTAAAAACTCTCTATGGGCTCTCCAAAATCCATAAAAAATCCACGAAGAATCTGTTCCTGTCCGTCCTATAGTCAGCAACATTGGAGCACAAACTTTAAAAAATCCCCAAACAGCCCCCCCCCCACGAGCTTACTAATTAATCAATTTGAGTTAGACCAGTTAATTTAAGAGTTATAGACCAGTTAATTTAAATGATCCATACTTATTTAATTATTTCAAGTAACCTATTCTAATTGCTTGAATAATTTTAAATTTAATAAATTTTTCTTCAATTTAATTCGAAGATTTTATACATTTGAATGATGTTAAAATTAAATGTTAAAAGAGACGTTGGAAATTATGTTCAACAAAAGTATGAGTTTTTCAAAATACTCTAAGGAACATGAAACTATCTCGATGAAGAGACATTTGAGGAAAAAATGTCCTCCTAAATCTGCTTGTTCTCGAGATGAAACCCAGGAGAATAAACGAACAAATTCTCAACAAATACTTTTTTCACTTTCCGTTGAATTTCCTGCAGTAGATTTTCTCACCTCCAAAAAAGTTGTTCTAAATGTGATCTGACAAAATTCATCACTCCTAAGAAACCCTCTATGGGCTCCCAAAAATCCATAAAAAATCCACGAAGAATCTGTTCCTGCCCGTCCCATCGTCATCATCATTGGAGCACCAACTTAAAAAGAACATCCCTCAACAGGCTGTCTTCCCCCCCACGAGTTTTCGCATCGGCATGAAGCTGGAGGCAGTGGACCGTAAGCACTCCTCCCTGGTCTGCGTAGCCAGCATCGCCGGTCTCATGGACTCCCGCATCCTGGTGCACTTCGACTCCTGGGACGAGGTTTACGACTACTGGGCGGACGCCAGTTCCCCGTACATCCACCCAGTGGGTTGGTGCTACCACAACGGCCACAGCCTGACGCCCCCCAACAACTACAAGGACGCCAAGTCCTTCACCTGGGACGCCTACTTCCGGGAGACGAGATCAGTGGGGGCCCCAGCACGAGCTTTCAAGCAGAGGCCCCCCTGTGGCTTCAAGAGAGGAATGAAATTCGAGGCAGTGGACAAGAGAGTCCCCCAGCTGATTAGAGTGGCCACTATTGAGGACGTCAAGGACCACATGATTAAAATACGCTTCGACGGCTGGCCAGAGAGTCATGCCTACTGGCTGGACGACGACTCCCCGGACATTCATCCTGTTGGCTGGTGCAACAAGACTGGACATCCCCTGGAGCCCCCACTCACCCCTGAGGTCATCGCGGAGAAGACGGAGTGCGGAACATCTGGCTGTCGTGGCATTGGCCACATCAAGGGGCCCAAGTTTGCCACTCACAATTCACCCTCTGGCTGCCCCTACTCCTCCCAGAATCTTCACAAAATTAGACTGACCACTGACAGACTCAATGTCAAACACGAAATCTGCGACTACGACGAGGACTCGCTGGACAGGGCCAAGGGCGACAGCACCCTGTGGAGGATGAGGGATAAGTATCATCATGAGGGGAAACATGTGAAGAGTGAGAAGGATGTCAAGGTGGAGTACGAGGAGTTTGATGAGGTGCCAGAGAGGTTAGTTTCAATTGCAGAATGATATTTTAGGAAGTTGAAAGTTTAGAGACAGTACGGGGAATTTTTGGGAGAGGGTCGTTGACATCGAGTCGAGGGGAAAAATCAGGGAATTTCAGATTTTGCTGATAAATTGGGGGAATGACGAATTTTTCAGTAGCGGGTGATGAGAATTTCTAAATTTACTTGAATTTTCGATCAATTGGAAATTTAAGAATATATTTACCAGTTTTTTTTATGTCTATTGATTTTTGGGAAATAATTGAACTAAAATTTAGGGTTTCCATTGATTTTTTCAAGAAATTGTGAATTTTTAATTATTAAATTCTTTGAAATTTCAGTAGAATCGTAAAAAAAATTTGAAAAAATAAAAAGAATTAAAGAATCTTGATGAAAATTTCCATTAAGTGTTTGGGAAATTATATTTTAGATTTTTTCATTATTTTTGGAAAGGAGTCTAGGAGTAAAATAGATTAAACCCATCAAATTGAACGTTTTGGGTCAAATAAATTTTATTTTGTGACTGAAATAAACAAAATTATTTTGTCAACTTAATTAAAATTATATGGGTCAAATTTTGCGGGGCAAACCGTCATGAGATAAATATCATGAATCGAAACAATTCGATTCATGATATTTATCTCATGAAATTGAATGAGTCATAAAACATCATTCAACTCATGATTTTCTCAACTTAGCAGATCGAGCAAAAAACATCATCACAGTGATGGAAATACTGATGAGGAGGAGCATACGTCGAGAAAACGTAGGAAAAGGTCAGTAAAATCGCCAAAAAAATGTTAAAAAATCATTTTCAATTGAATAGATCCAAGACGCGATAAATAGGAAGTGTAATACAGTCCCGAGAGATAATGTGAATTTTTATCTAGACGTCATGTATCCGAGGAGCCTCCCTGCCCTCCAAACTCTGGATTCGAATCAATGACTACTTACGCACCAAATATGCCTGACAAACAACTACGTACCGAGCTGTATCAATCTGTTTACGATCCCGGATACAGTCCACTGCCGGATGCACCACACGTATGGGCGAAACACAGTAATGCACTGAATCGTGTAGTTGCCAAACAGAACACCAATCCCAGGAGATGGTCTAATGAGGAAGTCATCAAGTTTATACAGAGTGTCCCTAATTGCAAGGATGTGGCTAGCATTTTCAGAAAACATGTGAGTAATTTTTTATTTTCTTACTATTTATCCAATCGTCAATTATGGCCATTCAATCAGGCATTTAAAATGAGGAAGAGTGGGGCAAAATGAATTTTCAAAATCATTCAATGAATTTAGAATAAAAAATGAGACTAGAATGAATTCAGCTAATTTTGCCCCATATTTTCCCACTATTCCATGATTAGTTTTATGATTTTTAATGTAGTTTGTACGTGAATTTTTCTCTTTATATTTTACATTTTTTTCTTCATGCACTGACGTGTTTTTTCCTTCATCACCTCTATTTTTGGATTTTTAGAGTATTGACGGTGAGGCATTTTTAATGTTGACTCAAGAAGATTTGGTATCACTCCTGGGTCTCCGTCTCGGCCCAGCCATAAAACTGTACAACAGTATTGTACTTCTGCGTCGACGTGCCACATGAAACGTGCTCAACATTTTAACACCCACCAACTGATCATGTTCATTGTAATTTTCACCATTATTCTCTTTCATTCTGCCCGGGAGAGCCCGGCAATTAAGCTCATTAGCGAGTGGTAGATTGCCACTGTACTTTACGGGGGTTTTTTTCTTCACAAGAGTAAAGTCGAGGATTATTATTAATGATTCATTTCAACATGTGGAGCATGAGGACGAAAAAGTACTTCAAGATTTAGCTCTTAAATATTTATCTATTCTTATCATGGAGGTACATTGGACTGTACAAAATGTATATAAATAGTTGTTATGGTATCTGTAGATATTGGTAAAGTGTAATGGAAATAAAGAAGGATTTTTTTAATGTGAAGTGTCACTCATTTTTTTAACTGAATTTTATGTCCAATTTTTTTTACCGGAGGATCTTCTGGTTTTTACGAGCAAAAATTATTTTGCTTCTCATTTGCCGATGACATATTTCTGAATTTCAAGAAATGCGCAAAATCGCCGGAAGTCTGGTTTGAACCCACGGCCCTCAGGTTTCCAGTCTAAGCTTTTACAAGTTAGCTATTCACTGAGTATAGAATTTTATGTTGTTCATTCTAGTTTTATACAATTCTAATTCATTTTTTGGGTAATTTATTCAATTATTCTATTTTTTTCAATTACCATCATTATCATTAATTTTTTAAAGCCATCTTTCGGCTTTTCCCATTCCCTTCTGACTGAGAATTCACGGCTGAAATTTTCCTCCGTATTTCTGCTGGAAAATTTGAGCCTCTTAATAAGACAATTATTATTTCCGTTCTTGTAATTTCTAATTATTGTTTTCATTCCTGAGTTTTCTCCGAATATCTCCAAATCTAAGGGAGATACCAAAATTTTCCTAATGACGTTTTTTGTAGCTCTCAATCCGCCCAATAAAAAAGGTCATGACAAAAATTTTGCTATCGCCCTTGGATTCCGAGAAATTCGTTGAAAATTGACCAATACCAATACCACCATTTTCAATCATCAAAGTTGTCACTTAAATAGTGTGAGAAAAATTTGAAAAAAATCATAAATATTCAGCACCATTCAAATTACGTTTTCCACAGAATTATCATTTTTTGAAACATTCTTGCGTTGAAAGCAAGATATAAATATACTTAAACATTCTTTATTTATAAATAATTGTTCAAACTTTCGGAAACCTTATTTTTTAGGCATGAAATGGATTTTTGCTAAAATTCTAAATATGAATAAATTTACTAGTATTCGGAGCAACTGATTTTTACGATGGAAAATTGATTGTTTATAAATTATTTCAAATCAAATTGATAAATATATCTATAATGATAATGATAAACCCTAATTAGACTAAATTATTTACAGAAAATGCTCGCAACTTTCAAAAATCCCACTTTTTAAATGATTTCATCAATCTTCTTCCAACACTAAACTCTCTATTTTTTTTTCACACTTTAAAAATGCTCCTAACCCTTCAATATCAAGATTCAAATATAGCCTGCAAAGTTTAAATAACAAAATCACTGCAAAATATCCGGAAACAGGGTCAAATGGAGTTCAAATAAAATCTCCAATATTCGCCACAAAAAAAAACCCAAAATTCTTGAATATCCTTAATGTTATCAATGACCACCAAATACTAATCTCTAACAGACCCAAACTCCCCCCACCAACAATCCCAAATCACAAAAACCCCCGATAATTCTGCAGACGAGACGGAATAAGTTTCCTGATACCGTCGCCCATCCCTTCCCCTTTCCACGGTCGTACGTTCAACAGCGAGTCCTCCCCCCCTCCCCCACTCCCGAGTATAAACCGCAGCAATGTTTACACTGTAGTCAGGGCGACGGGTCCATGTGTTCAGTCGGTTGCTGTCGCGCGCCGGTACGGTTGGCCATCGAGCCAGTCCGCGTGATATTGAATAAATCAAAAGCTCCAAACGCAAATAAACGAAGAACGGAATTTTCGTATTCAGCGAGAACAGCCGTGTGTTGTGTCGGTACGTGACGACTGGACGTCTCGGCATTTTAATTCCCTGAGAAATAACGAACCCAGTGATTTCGTCGGGTGTTTGTGTTGATTGTAAATCAGTTTCGTGATGTAAATAATGATTTTTCGGGGCCTTGGGAATCCGATTGATCGGGGGTTCGACGCGGTGCGGGAATTTAGTGAAGAGAAATGAAATTGTAATTTTTCGATCGAGTGAGACGAGTGTTTCGCTGTGGCAACTGCAGCCTCGATCCCTTTTTTGCATCTGGTGTGCATGAAGCAATTTTACTTTATGAGTGAAGGGTTTATGGCGCCATTGAGACGAATTAAATTTGTCATAACGAACGGTGGAACATTGAATTGCGCAATTGACCGTTAATCAGTGAAATTGTTACGAGTGTTATTAATTTGCAATTGTTATGACCGTGTTTGCCACGGGCACCAGGAGCGATGATGTCGAGTGGCTGTTGATTCTCGACAGTGTTGAGAAACACTCGGGGTACGATAAAGGCTGGTGCACTGATACACTTGGGCCACAGGCCCAAATTCAGGATACGGCGGTTGGCGGGAGCAATTTGACCGCTGGTATAACCGCCAACCCCATCATGCCTCGGGCATTACCGACCAGACGGGGATTGCAGGCACTCGCACTCATACTTGCGACTGCTTATGCCACTATTCTGATTTATCAGGCTGTTGCACCACGTCAGGTGAGGGGATATTCGATATTTACGGCGGCAGTGCACCCGGGGAAATGTCGGCTTTGATGATATAATTATTTATTTCTTTGGTGGGATTGCGAAAAAATTATGAAGATGGTGAAGAAATTGGAAAAGTTTAAAGATTGACGGAATGAGCCAAAACAGGGATAGCCAGAGTCATAAGATTCCGGAATATTAAGAGAATTTGAGCCTTACTTTGATTAAGGTTCACAGATGCTCGTCAAAATTTAAAAATAGTAAAATTATTGGTAATGTAAATTTCCGATTGGCGAGGGATTAAATAATTGATAATGTGGAATTGTCAATTATGTATTAAGTAAATAATACTAAATTTCGTAAAAGGGATTTTCGATTAACCAAACAATCGTCAATCTTCCTAACTAAATTATTGATTGATAAAATAATTCGGAATTGGAGTATTTTAATTGATTAATTTAATAGTTAAAATTTTTGTAGAATAATATTAACGAATTCATTATTTCAAAATTTAATGGTAATTCTAGCTTATGAATGTGGCTATCTCTACTCAAGAGCTAATCGAGAAAGAATTTGTTTTTTATTTTTTCCCCATTTTTGAGGAAATAAGCTCTGATGTTCGAGGACAAAAGTAGAAGAGCAGTTTACTGGAGAAAAAAATGCCAAAGTACATGGATAAAATATCTAAATTTCCGATGGATGATGAATTAAATAATTGATAAATATGGAATTGTCAATTGTCTATTAAGTAAATAATACTAAATTTCGTAAAAGGGATTTTCGATTAACCAAACAATCGTCAATCTTCCTAACTAAATTATTGATTGATAAAATAATTCGGAATTGGAGTATTTTAATTGATTAATTTAATAGTTAAAATTTTTGTAGAATAATATTAACGAATTCATTATTTCAAAATTTAATGGTAATTCTAGTTTATGAATGTGGCTATCTCTACTCAAGAGCTAATTGAGAAAGAATTTGTTTTGTATTTTTTCCCCATTTTTGAGGAAATAAGCTCTGATGTTCGAGGACAAAAGTAGAAGAGCAGTTTACTGAAGAAAAAAATGCCAAAGTACATGGATAAAATATCTAAATTTCCGATTGATAATGAATTAAATAATTGATAAATATGGAATTGTCTATTAAGTAAATAATACTAAATTTCGTAAAAGGGATTTTCGATTAACCAAACAGTTGTCAATCTTCCTGACTAAATTATTCATTGATAAAATAATTTGGAATTTGAGTATTTTAATTGATGATTAATTTGATATTTAAAATTTTTCTAGAATAATATTAACGAATTCACTAATTCGAAATTTAATGGTAATTCTAATTTATGAATATGACTATCTCTGCCCAAGAACTAATTGAGAAGGATTTTTTTCTTCATTTTTTCACCATTTCTGAGGAAATAAGCTGTGATGTAACTTTCAGTTCATTTATTCCATGAGAATTAATGGAAATCGAAAAAATTCAGATTTCAAATGAAGCATTTCTCTGGGTGTATAATATACTCTTTCTATCATAGTTTTTATGGTTCGTTAATTGTTTTTGTAAAGTAGGGAAAGTTGATATTTTTTGCAATGATAAACATTATTCAGCGTAGGATTGCATTATTTCAATTTTTTTAATTCAAATTTAAAGATAAAACAACAAATCAATTTTTTGTATCCTTCTAACTTTTTAATTATCTCGGTAATGAATAACTTTGAAGAAAAATTCGATAAAGAATTTTTTATTCGCAATTTCTTCAGCCATAAAAAATGTTCTAAGAAGTTTTTTTCTTAACATCACTCATTACCGAGATAAATGCTGAATGAAAAAAATGAATTGAAAAACTATTTTTGCATAAACCGTCTCCTTAATTGAAATTCTTTGAATTTCCTCAGCTGCAAGGAAAATTAACATACAATTTCTTAAATTTCATATAATTTATCAATTTGAACTCCCAATCAATGAAAATTTTGTTTGTTTGAATGTCTTTAGAAAAAAATGTCATAATAACTCATCACCGAGATGAATGCTAAATCAACAAAAATGAATTGATGAAATATTTTTCCATGAACTGCTCTTCAATCGTTGCTAGCTCTCAAACTATCAGATACCAAGCGCCATTAGAAGAAAGAATAAATTAATTTTCGTTGAATTTCCTCAACTGCACTCCAATTCCCTAAATTTCATGAAAAATTTTCAAGTTAAACCCACAATCAGCAACAATTTTTCATTCATTGTCCCAATCTCACCAATCCCCCGTGTAAAATGGATCTTCCCTCTGATTTTTCCAGTGGCCAGAGGAGTCTGTAGTCGTCCTAAACCCCGCAATATCCGATGGGCACGTTGACATTTCTGTAATGCCGAAAATAAGTGTGGAAGAGACAGCAGTTACGCCGCCGGTTGCAACAGCAACAATGGCACCTTTTTCCACCGACCTCAACGACGTCTTCATCAGCGTCAAGACAACACGCCACTATCATCATTCACGACTGCCTTCGATCATCGACACGTGGTTCCAATACGCGAAAGATCAGGTTCGTTGATAAATATCACATACCGGACAGCCACCGGAGATTCTCTGCAAGAGCGGAGGGATAATTAAAATAATAAAAAATTCCGCGTTTTAATTATCTTCTCTCTTCATGTCTGAAATTCACCCCGCGATATTATCTCTCACGGGTACGGACTAATTGTTCGCATTATGAGCTTCTCACCGTTGGTATCCTATGCACATGCACTGGAGTTCAAAGAACCGTCTTTGGAGTAACCATTCTTGCAGGGGATCGTCTAGTGGCTGGGAATATTCGCACAGGTTTAGGGGAAAAAATTGTAGTACATTCTGCATTTTGCACTTTGCAATAAATTACTTTGTTAGACATTTATTTTTTGGGAGCTACACTGAGAGAAAAGTTGGCTCTGCCAAAAAACTATGTTCAAGGGAGAATATTTGGTGGAGTGCAACAGATTTGCTTGAGGGAAATTAACTTGCTGAACGAATTTTTTACGATTTTGAAACCATGATTTTTGCAATGGAAAATCCATTCTTTATAAAATATTCGTGGAGAATGGCGTAATTCTGTCTAATCACGACTTTTCAATCACTTTAGAAGCCTTCCTCGCAGAGTAAACTGTCTATTTTTACTTACATTCAACAAAATATTAAGAACATAATTTCTTTTTTGCTTTTTGGGATAAATTACTTCTTTAAACATTTCTCTTTTATAAATTACACTAAAAAAAAAATTAGCTTTGTCGAAAAATTATATGTTTTACGTGAGAATATTTGATGGAGTGGAACAGATTTACTTGAGGGAAATTAACTTAATGAACGAATTTTCTACGATTTCGAAACTATGATTTTTTCACTGGAAAATCCATTTTTTATCAAATATTCATGCAGAATGTCCTAATTCTGCCTAATTACAACTTTTCAATCACTTTAGGAGCCTTCCTCACGGAGTAGACTATCTATTTTTTCTTACATTCAAAATATTCAGTAATATCCCAAGAGACGAAATCAAATTTAAACCTTTAAAATTTAAACAGTGAAATCATCACAAAATTTATGAAAACTTAAAGTCAAATAGGACTTGAATGAGAGCTCTGGCTTTTAACTACAAATGTTAGAGAAGATCTGAAAACATAATTTCTTCGCATTTCATAACATTCTCTGCAATCAAAATTAGAATATCGAAAAATCCGTCAAATAAAAGGCGAAGGCTTCCATTCGGAAACAAAAACAAAACAAAAAAAATTCTAGATATTCTTCCAATATCTGGGAGACTCGTCCCATTCTCCTCTGCATAGTCCGAGACATTTCCAATAATTCTATCACGAAAAGAGGAAAACAGAAGATGAAATAAGTACCCCGATTGAATCGATAGCCTCTTTCAAGATAATATCACAAGTTTTGTATGTAAAGCTGATCATTGTTGTGACTTTGACGTTGGAAGTACGTTATTCAACTGATTCTTTGTTTAGTCGCTGATTTTTCAATCCCGCGATTTGAATCACCTGTATTGCGTGCTGCCAATGGATTTTAATTTCAAGAAAAACATGGGAAGCGTCTATTCAAATGTTAGAGCGGGGTTTTCATTCACAGGCATTGTTTCGTTGTCATGCGAACGCGCTTCCTTTTCATGTGGATTTTTCAAAAGGTGGATTTTATTTTAATGAGGTTTGCTGATTAATGATGAGGGAAAATTAGATTGAAATTTGGGAAAATTGAAATTGAAAATTACATGTAATCGAAATTAGGAAAAATTAAAATAAAAAAATTGATTCGATGAAAAGTGTTTGACGCATTTATTAATTTTAATAAACAAAATTTGTATTGTTGTTCATCAAAATTAATGAATCAGTATCTTCTTAAGGTAATTAATTTCATGAGTAATTTAGTGAATTTAGTGAATTCGAGGCAATCAGGCAATGATTACAGGTTTTGATGGACTCAATTGATGAATAAATACCTGAGTCATCGGTTTTTATTAAATTTTTATATAAATCATGGTGTTAGAATATCATCTCTGGTAGATATTGTCGAGCGATAATTTTCTCCAAGGATATCCGCTGTTTCTGAGACGACTCCTCTGTCAAGTTTTCTCATCGCCACTATTATCTTGAGTGACTCGGTCGGAATAACCGCAAACCCCTCAATTTTCTCTCGAGCCACAGCCCGCTTTCGGGTATACGAGATACCCGGGGGATAATTGGAGGACCAACTGCACGATTTCATCCAGTTGTATGAGTTCAATGGAACTTTGACTTTGTTGGGCTGACCACGGGGACATTTGTGGTAAAAATTCCTCGATTTCGTTTTTTTTTTCACGTCGAAAATTGCATTCTTTTCACGAAATAAATGAATTCGGGTCGTTTCAACTGAATTATTTCAATAATGAATTTCTTATCTTACGTTTTAACATCGCTATTTTGACTGTGATCAGCTGTATAAAATGAAAACGTAACTTTTATTCCCGTATTTTCTCATTAATTTTTTTTTATTCATTTTATTTTCTTTCCTCCTGCTGTTAAGGTTTTATAGACTACCCATTTCATCTGGTTTTATGTCTTCCTCCCACTCTTCTCTTCATATTTATCTGGGTTGCCATGGGCTGTCTTATTCTTATCAGCTGCACCCTATTCGGGCTAGTAATTCTCGGGAAACCATGGAAAAACCCAGTCGTATTGCCGGTCGATATTGCAGGGTCTTACTGAGTCCATTTGTCACTCTGACTCGGGGGGCTGACTCCAAGGACATGTGAAAAATTAAACTATTAAATTTTTGTTCAAAATTTTAGAATTTTTTCATCAGTTCCGGTAGAAAATTCCGGCGCTTTTCTGTGCCGTCTTGTCCGCAGAAATGCGCGATAGAAAATAGAAGAAATTATTAAAATTCAATCCTTCTGCGCAACTATTTGTTTTTGATATATTCTCTATAGAATATAGACGAACGCCAGGCGAAATAATATTCATTTTAATACAAGTCAAACGATCGAAAAATTGCAATTTTTGATTCTCTACAGAAATTCCTCGACTCCTCGAATCCGTCAAATGATTTTGAATTTGATTTTTCATAGTGGAGGGAGAAAGAAATCGTAAAAATATGGAAATCCATTGCATATTAAATCTGCGAAAACTAATATAATCTTCAACAAAAATTCAATAGAATTTTCTAATGAATGCGCTAAATTTCTCTATAGATTTTTTTTCTTACGCGCCACGATAAGTGTCACCCCTCTCCGCTAACTAGACGCGCGCAGTAGTTCTCTACATTCGCGCCTGGCGGCAGCAACTCCACGCGACGAGATAGGGCGCTCAGCCCATCCCAGTTCATCGCGATTTTTATTCACAATTTGAAAATCATTTAAATGCGCTTACGCCGGAGGCGCCTGACATTCATCGAAATGTGCACATTCATCATTAACAGCCATGAATATTGAGTCTGTGAGTCGTTTTTCAGTGACTCAAAGGCTTCATTCAGCCGAATCACGACACCCGATACGATATTTATTATCAACTCTTCAGAAGTACTCGGAATTCCTGTGTAAACAATTTTAATCTCCCGCATAAACTCAAGAGAGTCTTCCAGATAACAACGGACACACGCCGTTGGGGTCTCGAATGCTCACGAATTTTCGCCAGCGTGAATAGAAGTAACTGCCAAGTGGCGTCAGACCAAACGTGAAATCATCCGGTTTTTCAATTAGTCGAATTAAGGGAATTTGTGGATGACTACTCACGTTTTTGGCAACAATGGAGCATCGCAAAAAAACTGTTAATTCGGGAATTTCGGGGTTCGGGACTGGAGGAAGCTTCAAGTGGCTCAATTTGAGTCGTTGAGGAGGAAGTCATTAATGATTAATGCGGTAAATAGCGATGGGAAGGTGATGTCATCGCGTTGGGTTTCGCTTTTTTTTTCGCTGGGCGATCTTTGCATATCTAGCAGACGGTCTATTACAGCTCCACTTCAATTCGAGGCGTTAATAATGATGATCACTTTGTTTCTATCTGATTTTTCCAGCGAGAGGCGTCGGACAAAAAAATTTTATTTCGAAAATTAGGGGTCATGATGGCGTGATTGCCTGGGGATTTTTTTTGGTCTTCACACACTGGTGAAAATTTTTGGCTGAAAGTGAGCTTTTCATTCTGGAAATCGAGGGGAAGTTTTAGACAGTTTATTGAACGGAAAAATCTTCGGGAAAATTATGAAAAATTTTGAGAAATATTTAGGTCTTTGTTAATATTAATTTATTCGGATAAATATTGACATTTATGAATATTGATTTATATTTGAGATCTACAACATGATGATTTATACGTAAATTCGGTAAAAGTGTCTGAAAATCTAGTGACTCAGGATGAAAAGATCTATTTATAGTACTTTTCGTGAAGAGAGATCTTTTTCTGTAATACTTCTCGCGATTCCTCTTCTAGAAATTGGTATTTCGTATTTTCCAAACTTGGAAACTTAGAAATCATTACGAAAACTTCTTGTTCCGAGCAGTTGGGATAGGGATTTTTACTCGTGTGGTTGGCTAACCTTCGCCTGCCGCTGGGGCGTCACCTCCGCTCGAGTAAAAATCCCCAATTAACATCCCTAACTGCCCGGTAAATACTATTTTAGTTTCCAGTGGCAATCGATAGGAAATATGTAAAATTTCCACTTATTCTCAGAAATTTTTCCTTAAAGATATTCAAATTCTTCGGCTGTTTTTTCTCCAATGAAATGCTTTTCTATTCTTCTAGCCTAATATTAGAGCTTTTATTTGAAGTTTCTGGACGTGATTTTATTATTTAAACTTTGCAGGTCTGAATTTCAATCTCGATATAGAACCGTTAGAAAACATTCCAGAAATCTAAAAAAAATCGAAAGTTTACTTTTGGAGAAAGATTGATGAAATAATTAAATAAAAATTGCAATGTTTAAAAATCTCGAGCAATTTCTATAAAGAATTTATAAACAATCAATTTTAACAAATTTATTCATATCCAGAATTTTCTAAAAAATCAGGTTTCCGAAAGTTTAAACAATTTCAATTATTTATTTATAAAAAACGAATGTTTAAAAAAATGATGATTTTTTGCAAAATGTTATTGGAATGATGTTGAAAATTCATGATTTAAAAAAAAAATTCAAAACTAAAAGATACTTGGATATCCTGGAGGAATTTTTTTGAAGAAAGAAAATTGAGTTTAACAATAATAATACTCTTTCGATTGGTAAAATTGAGGGAGAATTGTCCATTCACCTTTCCTCAATATTTCACCATCCAAATATTATCTCACGTCCGAGAGTTGATGTTGACATTTCTGTTCCCCAATAATGAATGTTTTTCTCGCTCTTGTTTATTCACCTCCCGTCGACAGCCTATGAACGACGACAAATATCGGGGAAAGATGGGCTGCATTCTAATCCGCGCGGGGAGTAACGACGAGTGTCTTCACTCGTGTTTTGGTAGTCATCAGTCTACTCGAGGTCTACCATAAAAATCTCTGAAGCTTACGGATAATGTATATACGGTACTTATTGAGATGTGGCTGGGCTAAAAATAGGCGCTCGAGGGAGTGTGTTTGTACGGGTCCATTGCCCTTTATAGGGACATGTGCATTGAAAGTATGGAATAATAAATTTATAAATTTAATGAATTTGTGCTCTTTTCTTTGTTTCAGACGTGGTTTTTCACTGATAAAGAAGATCAGTACCTGCAAAATCGGACGAGTAAGTGTCTTTTTCATAATTTATTATTTATTATTATTATTATTATTATTATTATTAATATAATAATTTTAATAATACGAATTTTATTATTATTATTTGAATAATAATAATGATAATAAAATTTTTTCTTTGAAATTTTATTTATTTATTTCATATTATAAGAATATTTTCATTGAAATAAATGTATCGGTCGATTAATTTGTTGTATAAATATTGTTAATATTAGTGGAAAATCAATAGAGATTTAAATTTCAACTCAATATTTTTGAATTATCAGCAATATTGAAAAATTAAGAATTCCTCAAATTGAAGTGAAATTCCGGTTAATTTCAGCGGACTTTCAATTTTTCTCCCGCAATGTTGCGAATACCCTTGAATCCAATAATAATTTTAGTGTAATAATGATCAATCAATTGAAAATTCACGAACTCCTCACATTAAATTTAAATTTAATGAATTGAAAATTCAAGTGAAATGAGAAATTTTCATCTTCTTGGCTTGAAAATCTGAAACTCCATTAAATTTCACTGAAATTCCAATTTTTCTCCTACAATATAGAAAATCTCGCTCAATTTAATAATACCTCCGAATTATTAATACTTAATGAATTGAAAATTCACGCATATATTCAAAAATTCAACATTTTTGAATTGCAAAAAATGCAAACAATTCAGAATTTCTCAAATTAAATTAAAATTGATTCAATTGAAAATTCAATGAGATGAGTAATTTCAATTTTTCCCTCTCAATGTTGCAAATCCCCTCCAATTTAATAATAATTCCAATCTAGCAATAAGTAATCAATCGAAAATTTACGAATATATTCAAGAACTCAATATTTTTGAATTACGAAAATTACAAAAAAATTCAAGACCTCCTCCTCTTAAATTAAAATTTCACACATTGAAAATTCAAGTGAAATGAAAAATTCTCATCTTCCTGGCCCCCAAATTTCCAACTTCATTAAATCTCAAGAAACTTCAATTTTTCCCTCACAACGTAGCAAATCCCCTCCAATTTAATAATAATTTACGTCTCTCCAGTCGTAAATTCGAAAAAAAAATTATCTCTACTCCCCGTTAATCCGGCAACTGTTCAGAGCACACAGTATCAGATAAATTCTGAATAGAGACGGTAAAACGTGGAATGCTGAGTTCTCATTACGATCTCCACATAATATTCTGACCGAGCACGCTCTCGTTCATCTGATAATTGCGAAAAGGCAGCAAGAAAATATGAGCCAAACGATAGAGAGAGACTGAAGAATGGTAGAAAACAGAGTAAACACGTGCAAACCCAATCGTAAATACGGAAGTGGGTACCCATGAGGAGGTCGTCAATCATTTTCAGGATTTCCAAGTTCATTGATTGTATATCCCCAGCCGTAGTTACTAGACGTTCAAACGATTTACGGTAATGACGGTCTTGTGCAATAAAATGAGAGAGAGAGATATATATAGGTGCGCTCTAGCGAGGCGGATAATTCAATGAAAATATTCACCCCCAGGGGATATTGAAACCAAAAATCCCTCGGCGTTACGTAATCGCTGGGTAAATATGGATTGGGACTTTGCTGGCTACAGTATGCAATGAATATTCCAGCGAGATGCCGGAGGCTCGCGGTATATCGACTATCGGAGAGACTGTTCAATGTTGCCTGAATTTTGTCTCTCGGGGACATTTTAGTTGCGAGTTAGCGCCCTTCGTGGAACACTGTGTTAACAGCATTCGGGGGATAATTTATGAGGGATTTGTGGCGGTTGCAACTTAATTATCTCGCGAGATTTTGGGATATTGAGAGGATAGTCTTGCGCGGTTGGAGAATAATTGGAATTTCATATTTCACTGGAGATTTAGAGAACTTGCAATTTTTTACGAGGAAGCAAAAATGAAAATTCAGTGAGTTGATTAAATTTTCAGAATGAGGATGAATTTTTAGTTAATTGGAGATTCCAAAATAGATTTCAAATTGTGAATTTTCAATGACGAATTTACAGAGAATTTCAGCGGAATTTTCTGAAGAATTCAGCAAAATTTCAAAGAATTCATGAATTTCGGCCGAAAACTTTTGACATTTCATGTAAATTTCATAAGATTTTTAGAATTTTAATTCGGGGGATAATTTATGAAGGATTTGTGGCGGTTGCAACTTAATTATCTTGCGAGATTTCGGGATATTGAGAGGATAGTTTTGCGCGGTTGGAGAATAATTGGAATTTCATATTTCACTGGAGATTTAGAGAACTTGCAATTTTTTACGAGGAAGCAAAAATGAAAATTCAGTGAGTTGATTAAATTTTCAGAATGAGGATGAATTTTTAGTTAATTGGAGATTCCAAAATAGATTTCAAATTGTGAATTTTCAATGACGAATTTACAGAGAATTTCAGCGGAATTTTCTGAAGAATTCAGCAAAATTTCAAAGAATTCATGAATTTCGGCCGAAAACTTTTGACATTTCATGTAAATTTCATAAGATTTTTAGAATTTTAATTCGGGGGATAATTTATGAAGGATTTGTGGCGGTTGCAACTTAATTATCTTGCGAGATTTCGGGATATTGAGAGGATAGTTTTGCGCGGTTGGAGAATAATTGGAATTTCATATTTCACTGGAGATTTAGAGAACTTGTAAATTTTTTAGGAGTAAGCAGACGAAAATTCAGTGAGTTGATTAAATTTTCAGAATGAGGCTGAATTTTTAGTTAATTGGAGCTTTCAAAATGGATTTAAAATTGTGAGTTTTCAGTGACGAATTTACAGAGAATTTCAGCGGAATTTTCTGAAGAATTCAGCAAAATTTCAAAGAATTCGTGAATTTCTCTGCAACTTAATTATCTCGCGAGATTTCGAGATATTGAGAGGATATTCTTGCGCGGTTGGAGAATAATTAGAATTTCAAATTTCATTGGAGCTGTAAAGAACTTGTAGATTTTTTAGGATTAAACAAACGAAAATTCAATAAGTTGATTAAATTTTCAGAATGAGGCTGAATTTTTAGTTAATTGGAGATTTTAAAATGAATTTGATGAAATAAATGGACTGAATTTTAGTCTTCATTGATTTTTTCATCAAATTGTGAATTTTCAGTGACGAATGTGCAGAGAATTTCAGCGGAATTTTCTGAAGAATCTGTATTAGTATTATAAAATTTCAAAGAACTCGTGAGTTTTGGTTGAAAACTTCTGACATTTCATGGAAATTTAATAAGATTTTTAGAATTTCAATTCGGGGGATAATTTATGAGGCATTTGTGGCGGTTGCAACTTAATTATCTCGCAAGATTTCAGGATATTGAGAGGAGATTCTTGCGCGGTTGGAGAATAATTGGAATTTCATATTTCACTGAAGATTCAATGAACTTATATCCGCATAATTTCACACATAAATAACCTTTATGATTTTTCCGTGGGGGCAGTTCTCCAGACATTACTATTTTTTTTTTCAATTCCGGAAAATATTAAAAATCCAAGGACTCCGTTTCTCGCACCTCATGCCCTGAACCTCAGAAAATTCCGCTTATTCTCCACTTAATTTGTTTTTCATCGACATATCTGCGATTGAAATAGTAAGGCGCAACGGTAAATTTGCTAGCGGGACATTCGTGCAGCCATAGAGTACGTAATACCACTCCCAAGTCTTGTGCATGTGTTGGAGGGTGTGTTATGCATGGTTATATGAGTTGCAAAACCCCCCGGGGGGCGCGAGGCGATAAAATCACTGCGAAAAAAACCCAGGTTGAGCCATAACTGATGAATATCACGTACGAAAATTCATAGCGTCATTCTTTCCGACTCGTTACGTCTCCCCATTTCTCTCGATTCAGTTAATTAGCAATAGCAATTTGTCATCCCCCAATGATCGATTAATCCGTCCGGAGTAATGTTGACCGGAATGGTGATGAAAGGGCCGCGCCGCGTCCGGTAATTTACCGAAAATAAGAAAATCTTGGTGGACAGAAAAAAGAGGGGAACGAGGCGGTGGTGGACGGGAATATGGTGGGGATGAGCCGCACGCGAGCCCTCCGGCCACCGGCCGACATTTGACCTGAACACGCGCACTGCACCTTATTGCTCCTTCGGTTTTACTCTCCTCTTATTGTTATTTATCCTCTCGTCTCGTTTTTTATTCTCGCTTCTTGCTGCGTCCTCAGGGGGCTGATTATGAACGGAGAAAATTGTGGGGACAACGTGCGATCGCCTGATTTCGGTGGAAATGAGGGGGACTTGTAATTGAAACTGGGAATTTTGTATGATGAATAAAATAGTTTTTTCGTTAGTTGCGGGTGAAATTAAATTTTGCGCGCATTCTGATGAAAAATAGGATTCGACACTCGTGAGAATAGTTTTCTTTGACTCTCGAGAGGGCAGCACTCGCCTTCGATAAAATACTGTATGTCACACGGGGATAATATACTTTTATTTGGTATGGAATTCCCTGCATTTGTCACACTGGATGTCTCGATGACTTCTCAATAGTTTTCGAGATTTTTCAATTGACATTGGGGCGTTGTAGCGACAGCGAAAGCGCCTTTGCTGGAGAGTGTATCCGTAGTACATGTACACATGACTGCGAGCATCGTATTCCCGCCATGCGCAGTGGCCAACTGCGCACCTTCCGTTGGGTTTTTCGTTACATGAGATTCACCAGGGATTACTTTACCGCAAAATTTCGATAACGAGGGCTGAAATGTTTACACATCAAAATATGAAAATGAAGAGGACAAAAATTTGGATAATGGTCTTTCGTAAATTTGGGGGTAGTATTGAATATTTATCTCGATAAACAATTCATCGAAACATGCATTTACCAGTGTTCAAGGCGAATAAAATGTTTTTTAGCATCATTTTTTTTTACTTCTCATGTCACAACTATTTATACATCGCCTAATTGAATCTTTTCAATTTTCAGACGGACACCTAGTCAACACAAAGTGCTCATCCTCCCACAATCGTCGTGCATTGTGCTGCAAGATGAGTGTAGAATTCGACAGGTTTCTCGAGTCCGGAAGAAAGTGAGTAAAAATTCAATTCAGCATGCAAAAAATTCCCATTAACCGATGAAAGTCTCATTCAGAATCATATCGCCCCTTAATTGGCAAAAACGAGAATTAAGAACGACAATGAGAGCGACAGCCCCCTCATCAAACATTTAAATAAAAGCAAAAAGAATGTTGAGCTTGAGGAGCGATGGACACCAGAATTAATTAAGCGAACGGTAAAAACAGTGTTATTGCAATTACCAGTGAGGATTGACAGGTTACAGTGAGCTATGTGGCCTCAACCGTCTGATGGCTTCGTTCTCATTCTCGTATATTTTCAAGCACCGATTGGCGACTGACGAGGGGGGGGGGGTCANGGGGGGGGTCAGAAGAATGAGTAAAAACCGGACGCTGTGCGCTTTCGATTTGTTAATCGCTTTCGCCCAGTTGAACTCTCGAATTTTCCCTCGATCATATATCCGTTCACTATTGTGCACGAGTGCCAAAAAAAATTGATATTTGTTTGTATATGTAAACAATACATGGGGGAAATGGCTGAAGTCCCTCGGGCACACGTCAGTTGCAAGTCATGACGTGAATTTGCAACTTTTTGGTGAAAATAAAATGGAAAAAAATTTGAATTTGGAGGGAATTTCAATTTTGCGTTGTTTTTTGCTGCCGAGTGGACGATTTGCAATCGTTGAAATTAAAGTTTCGATTTTTTTTTGTCATAAATTCATCGCCATTAATTAAAATTTAATTCATCGATTAGTTTTTTCAATTATCGAATTTTTTCGAAAATCGGTTGTCCCACGATAACTAAAAAAATGTTTTGAATTGATTGAATGATGGCTTAAAAATTTTGTTTGGATGTCCTTTTGACCGAGCTCGAAGATGAAGGCGATAGCAATAATCGTTATTTTGATTTATTTGAAAATTTGCAAAAATTTTGTATTTTTTGAAAATCAGAATTCCGGGGATGTCTTTGAATATCATGCTTCAAATGAATTCAATCATAGCTTAAAATGTTTGTTTTAATGCCATTAAGTCGAAGTTAAAAGATGATTACGATAGCTATATTGGTTGATTTGATTTTTATGATGATTGTTGAAAATTTCAAATTTTTCATGAATTTCTCTGAAAGTGAGCTTTTTGATGGTTTCTTCAAATGTGATGTTTCAAATTCATTCAAGTATGTATAAATAAAATTTTTCTATCAACATTTTATCGAAGGGTTGAAGGGAGAGATAGAACCGTAAAAAAGACAATCGGTTATATACAAGAAAGGGATAATAAGAATAATGATGATGATAACATTCAACTACGTTGAAAATCTGACAAAAGTAGTTGAAAAGAAATCTTATTCAATTTAATAGAATGAAATAAACAATGAATTATACATGATAGAAGGAAATGATGTGCAAAATAACCATTCGGAAGCATGTTGCTAATTTATTAGCAAAAATAGCTAAACTCGTTTTGAAGTTAACCTTGAAATACCCTGAATTAAGATGAGACTCCCTGAAACTTGACAATTACATTTGCCAAAGGGACCTGACCCCACACGCTCATGCCCGCATATGAGACACTCGAGAACACTCAGCCCCCTGTTTTGAATCTCATCCTTGTGGAGTGAGATACCGAAGAAGATTGAATCGTCCAGCACCGACCAGCTGTCGCGTCCTCTCCTTCGCGTCTCCCCCTCACCATTGGCCTCTTGTTCTTTCATTACCCTTCGTGTGGCTTCTGTTCATCCTCTTGACAGATTCAAGGAAGAAATCTTTTACTGGGGGCTTCGGTCTACGAGCTTCATGACATTTTGTTCGTTAATCGCGCAGACGTTTTCGTCTTTTTATGGTGATTCAGTGTGTTTAGAGGCTCCAGCTGAGTATTTACCCATTATAAATAAGGATTTTTGGGGCGGTTTTGTTGAGAGGGACACAAATATCTCCTGGGGGTTTTGTGGTTTGATTAGGGGCCTAGGTAAATATGGGAGGGGGAGGGATGAGAGAGGAAGAAAGCGGTTCTTCACATCGTATTAAATGTCAAATCATGATTGAGACATCATGACTTCAAAATGAATTATTCTACACCGACAGAAATAACTAGTTTTCTCGAAAAATTATATAATTTTTATAAAAGACAGTGAATTTTCACTCCATCAATTATTGTCACGTGTAAAATAGTCTCTCGTAAATCGAAAAATCCCGAAGTTTTGCCGATTTCCGACGACGGTTCAAGTCAATTCTGACCATTGCCCAGATTTCAACGAATATCTCGAAATCTAAGGGAGATAACAAAATTTTTGTCAGAACCTTTTTTGTAGCCCTTAACTCGCTCTACAAAAAAGGTCATGACGAAAATTTCGATATCTCCCTTAGATTCCCAAATATTCCGCGAAAAATAAGCTAAGGGCTAAATCGACTGGACCCGTCCAACGACGGAGAGTTTCCCCACCTTTCGCCATTTCGTAGTAGTCTGCGTGCAACCGCCGGGCTTCTCTTACGGCGCCCTAATGCACTGACGGGACCCCCCACTCCCCTCACCCATACACGATTGCAGGCGTTCATCGTTCAACGGGTAAAACCGTTTATCGTTTCGCTATTAATTTCGGAGATGATTTTGATGATTTCGCTGAATTAAACATCTCGTGTCATTGAAAATTCATTTAAATCACCGCAATAATGACTAATTGTAGGGAAAAATGTTAGGAATAAATGTTGAATCAAACTTTAGAGAGGAATTTTCAAAATTTTTTCCACATTAATTGCACACTTAATAAAAATTAAGGAAAAACCACTCAATGCCAGATTTTCCCGTCTAATGAAAATTTATTATTCAAAATATCCCCCGGCGAGGTGAAATAAAACCACTTGATGCCGGTGAAATGAGCGAGATCCGCGGGTATTTGCATCATTAAGCCAGCGAAAAAACTAAAAATATAGGTATCATAATATGACTGGCGCTTATAAAAGGCTCCCCCAGTTGACGGAATGCCTCAATGGTACGTGTGTCCCAGAGATGGAGACGTGGCGGCTCATTAGTCGGGCTAATTTCTATTTAACGACCACATTTGCCCGTGAATTAAAAGTGGAGAATAAGAGCAATGGTGTAAGGGCGTGTGGGACGCGCCAGTGTTTTCTCTCTCGGTGGTGGAAATATTCCGAGAAAGCCCGCGCTCCAACCAACTATTCTCCTTGTTACATTCGAAACGCATGTTTTATGGACTCGTCTCACGCGAGATGCCCTCAATTTTGCGGGTTATGGCGCGGGAGCTTTTAGTCTTGAACAATTTGCTCATTATGGGAGGCTTTCAGGCCGGAGAAAATTGAAATTGTTGGCATTTGGATTTTGGATTTTTAATGGTTTTAAAATATTTTGTGACGACACTTTTTGGTCGGCACTGTGACATGACTTTTGGCTGAATTTTTTGGTACAATTCGTTAGAATTGTTATCATATTATAGTTTCACTGAAATTTTGAAGAATTTCGTCATTGAAAATTTAAAATTTCACGGAAAAATCGACGGAAATTGCTAATTTTTGGCCATTTATTTCATAATAATTGATTTAAATCGGGGAAATTGTCGTAAATATAGTTTGGAATGTCGAATTACTTGAATATTCAGGTCTATTTGGGACTGAATATTCGTGTTTACATTGAAAATTCAAGAATTACGTCACTCAACATTCAACATTTTAAGAAAAAATTGATAGAAACCTGAAATTTTGTGATTTTTCTTCTCGGAATTTAATTCAATGTCACTTTTCTGAAGTTTCCAGGAATTTCGAATTTAAAAATTCAAAATTTCAGCAATAAAATTAATGGAAACTCTAAATTTCAGTTCAATTATTCTATGAAAATTAATAGAAATTAACAAAATTCAGGTCAATATATTCTTGAATGTTCAATTAATTAAAAATTTAACGTTATTTTGTACTGAATATTCAAGTTTTCACTGAAAATTCAAGCATTCCGTGAGTGAATAATCAACATTTCATGGAAAAATCAATGGAAACAGTAAATTTTATTTCAATTATTCTCCGAAAATCGATAAAAATCAGTGTAAGTCGAAATTGCGTGTTTTTTTTTCTTCAAAAAAATCCCAGTTGAATTTAATGTCACTCTTCTGAAGTTTCAAAGAATTTTGTAATTCAAAATTGAAAATTTCGCGAAAGCAATGAATGAAAAGTGCGAATTTTTATTCAATTCATTGAAAATTCAACTATTTTAACAAATCTTCGGCTTTCTGTTGCTAAAAAATTGAATTTCATTGAATTTTCACTAATTTATTACTAAACATTCATGTTTTTGCTGAAAATTAAAGGAAGTTTCGAAATCGTCGTCTTCCTGCTGCTAAATAATTACTAACTTCCCGATTTTTATCCCTTGACTTTAATTAAATGCCACTCCTGAAAATTAAAATTCCTCCAATACTCAACACTATTTTTATGAGAATATTTACACACACATTCTGTCAAATTCAAATTTTCAAAAATCCAATTTTCGGAAAAAACCGCCATTTTTTGTTTCTCAATGTAATTTATAAAAAAAAAATTGTAATGAGCTATCCCTCATCTGAAGAATGTCATTTCCCTGGGAAAAACAAACGCAAGCACTCGCAAGCACTGCACTGCCTCCCAAAATCCACCCCACGATCGACGAAAGTACATTATCATCCATTAGCTCTCTTCAGTACCATAAAATGAGACCAGAAGAATCGAGTCATCGATGGGAGGGATTGTACTGTCGAATCATCACTCTAATTGTTCATTTTCCCGAATTCCTCTTGGCATCACTCCTAGAGTTTCAATATCCTTTCAATGATGTTTCGCTTTCAATTCCATTATACACTGTTTTCATTGATCTGTAGTATCTATAGAATCCCCGCAAATGGATGAAGGAGGGGCAAAAAAAAATACACAGGGCTGAAAAAATACCATTCAGTGGAGTAAATGCGGAGGATTTTACACCTCGGTTCTATCGAGATGCGAAAATATTTAGTTTCTTCGCGGAAAATGGGCTCTGCGAAT